TCTGTGTGCGCAAAAACATATCCAAGGTGGGGCCGGCCCGACCCAGCGGATCATCGGGCGGCATAAATATGTCATCTACAAATGAGTACATTAGCAGGCGTTCCTGGACCACTTTGCGGAACTCGTTGCTCTCCAGCAGCAAATCGCGATAATTATCGTTGGACACCACAATGCCATCCGTTTCCACCGCCAGTTTGAGTATGAAGCGATCATCGTAGCAAGAGACACGCTTGCCATCCAAATGCCGAGATGGTGTAAAGACCAGAACGCGCTCATGTTCCAGCTCATAGAGCAGCTCCTGTTCGGTTATATTGTTGTTGGCCAGCTCCTTGCGCCAGTTGGGTACAAACGCTGTGATGTGACTATGGCCGCGCTGCCGGAACCACTCAACACAAATCCGTATACCGCGACAGCTGAAGATGGTGTTGTTACCATGCGACAACGCCACATTGCTTCCATCGATGACGATGTGGCGCAGCGAACTGCTGCTGCTGGGGGGTGGCACATGATTGCTACTGCTGCTGCTGTTGTTGTTGTTGTTGTTGCTGATGCAGCTGTTGGATGATGCTGGCCATGGTGCATCTGCCGTCAGTTTGATCAGTTCCGCCAGCAGCTCGTTTTGTTTAGCCTCTGAGCCGAGACGTGTGAGCGCCGTGTGTATGGACTGCTCGCTGTAGCCCAATTTCTGTGCAAATTCCAGATTCTTGCGCTCGGCGCTGCTCAAATCATCATCGTCGCTGCTTTCTTGCTGCTGCTGCGACGTCTGTGGCTTTCTCGCATACAACTTGTTGGCGCTTTGTTGTTGTTTTTGTTGCTGCTGTTTTTGCTGTTGTTGCTGCTGTAGCTGTTGGTGTTGCTGCTGTTTTTGTTGCTCGGCCACTTCACAATCCATTTTAATGCGCATTTAGTTTGCTGAGCCTCTACTAACCAATGCACAAGTTTATATTGCTCGCCCGTTGTGTGCCCTTTTTAGTTTTTCAAACAATTTAGGCGATTTTTGCAACAAGTTCCGTCTTTTTACATTTTGTTGTTGTTGCCAAACAGATATGTTGTTAACATAACGGCGCATAACATTAACATGCGTTCAACTGTTAATTACAGCTAGCAATTATGAATTGCAGCTACTATTTAACATTAGCCACATTTTAAATTAAACATAACGCTTTTGTAACAAAAATGTGTTCGCAGGCTATTTTTTAAAAGTTAAATAACGCGGAAGCTCCTAAAGTAATTTAACAGTAGCCAATAAAATTGCCAATCAACTCTCTGTTAGCTTATTGATATTAATCTGTTAAAAAAAAAACGATAGGTTTCGTGGCCTGTTGGTCGTTGTTCAGCACAGCACCGATAACTAATTTACGCGCCACTTTCAAATTGAGCTCAAAATCATAAGATTAGAAATCACATTAGGCATGCATAAACCGATTTTTATTGTGGTGTACAATATAATATTGCATATAATTTTATTTTAACAAATTCGCTACAATCCATATAAGTATATAACATTTAAGAGTAGTCGTTTTTAACATTTATAGATCTCACTTTTTAAAATAAAGTACACATTGTTTATCTTTGTTTGTTGTATGGTTTGGTCCCTCTTTTCATGAAAAAAGAGTGCGCTGCATTCTAATTAAACTACTCGTACAATAAATATAATACTATTTATTAGTAGTGGTCACATCTATTCGGGTAAATATAGAGATTTTCAATAGATTAAATGCATAGAAAACACACGTATCTCAACGACAATAAAGTAATTCATTAATTTCGTTTCATTTTCGTGGCAATTACTGTGACAGCAGCACTAAAAAAAAAAACTATAAAATTGGACGTAAAGTTTACTACTTGTGTCTAAAAACGGTTATAGAGCTGCTACTACTTATATATGTATATGCACGTGTGTGCGTGTGTGTGTGGGTGAGTATATGGACTAGGTGCTTGTGTTTGTGCGTGGTCCATTTCAAATTCCACCAGTCATTCATTTTGCACACAGCTTTACTAAAATTTTCTTCAAATGAAAGTATTAAGGATGCATTCCCCTGACATGTCGTGTCGTATAATTTCTGCTCTTGCGTGTTCAACCAATCTGGGTTTCTCTGTGCGCTGTGTGCTTCTTATGACTAACATAAAATTTATTGTTGCTCTTTCTGCTTGTCTGTGTCTGTGGGTGTGTGTAAGTGCGTGTTCAGGGCTTTATGCTGGATTTTCATCTTTAACGGGTAATTAGTGAAGTTTTTGCATTGACTTTTACACCATATTTCCACTGGGTTACACAATTTTTGTGACACTCTGCTTGTTCGAGCAATGACTATATGGCTGGCTAAGTTTATGGCGCTTTTGTTGCTCGATAAATTTAAACTTATATTTGATAAAAATTTTAGTTTTAGTGCAGAATTATCAATATTATAAACTTTCTGCATTTGTGTTGAAAGAAAGCTTTGTAATCGCAGATAACATCCAGATTAATACAGCTTAAGGGTATTTGGTTGGTACCGAATTCGGGAATTCCCTAACAAAATCTAAAAAATTAATTTAAATGTCCATTCAAATTAGGCGCCCTTACGCAAAGCAAAGCACTATAAATATTGCATACTTTAATGCTGAGCTAAGTATTCAAAATTCATAATTTGTAATGCATACTTTTGTGCTGTCCTAATATTCACAATGAATAATTGTAATTACCTAACCAAACATTGCATACTTTTGTGATGTAAGACAGATTCCAAACTCCTTATTTGTAATGCATACTTTTGGGCTGTACTTTAATTCAGAATTAATATTTTTCATTGCATACTCTTACGCTGTAGCAAAGACTTACAATTCATAAATTACAATGCGTTTCTTTGTGCTACACAAATTCACAATACCAATTCTTTATTGCAAACCAAATTATTGCATACTTTTGTATGGCGAGCGAAAATCACAACTCATAATTTGGAATGCATATTTTTGGGCTGCACATACACATACACAATTAATAGTTTTAAGGATCGGAAGAACCAACTATATTCATCTGGAGTACAACATTATGAGCTCATTTAAGAATTTAACACTTGGAAAACACAAAATTCTTGATATCTCGACAACTGACAGTTTCGCAAGGATACTCGGATCTTACAGTCTAATTTTTTGTATACAGCATTTCCCTTTATTTCGTACTAAGTTCTATGCTTGATCCTTGCGATTTACTTTCTCGAATCATTTGAAAGGACTCACATATGCTCAATCGTCTAGCATATGTGCCGAGTTTCCTTATGCGCAGCCACAGAATTGATGAGCTCTCATCTAGCTACAGCAATTTATTAGATCCGATAATTTTTGGATGAACAAACGTTGTCATTAATCAGTTGTTTAATTTTTAAAAGCATGCGACAGGATAACGCCCACAGCCTGATGCGTGTGTGAAAGCATTTGTGTTTTTCCTTTACGGCTTTTCCTATTTTTATTTCGTGCTTTTGGGCAAACAAAACCTGTTTATCGGGCCCAAAAATATAACCACATTGCATGCGAGGCAGCTTAGCTAAGCTGATTAACATTTCGCCCTTGTTCAGATACCTGTGTGTGTGTGTGTGAGTATGTGTGTGTGTGTGTGTGTGTGTGTGTGTGTGTTTACCTTGCCATGCGAGCTGTTATAGCATACATTTATATTCAATAGATTGTGCGCCCGGAACTTTAGTTAGTGTTTTGTGGTCAAAGAACAGACTTTAATGTGCACCATTTCCACTAATTTCATGTCAAGTTGATTTGGCCATCGCAGCCTGACCCTTATCTGTGTGTTCCCTCCTGGCATTCTCCCGGCACCTCTCGCTTTGTTGTCCGACAATTGTTATGCGACTCTTTTTTTTTTTATTGTTTCCTCGCGCTTTGTTCGTGTGCATTGCAACCAGTTTCCGTTACTGTTTTTATTATTATAGCCTCAAGCAGGCGAAAAAAAAAAGAATAGGAAGAGCGAGCAAATAAGAAAACTCACTTCACTCGGTTCGTTCGTTTTGGCTTTCCGTCCGTCTGTCTGTCTGTCTGTACGTCTGTATGTCGGTTTGTCTGTTTTCCTTTGGTGGTTAAATGCTCCCTCGCTGTCAATACTTGAAATTGGCATCTGCATCAGCAATATCGACAGCACAGCAAACGCGCAGCGTTCGCTTTTGGCTCGAAGGTCTATGGGTGTTACCCATCGAAAAGTTCAAGAATTTTGCATTTCCATTGTAACACTATGAACTTAAATTGAACCCAAATTGCAGTGAGTTTAATTAAAATCAAAAGCAGATAAGCTGCATTTGAGTCCATATCTATAGATACAATTTTGTGCAGCACAAATTGGTTGTCCACACTGGACAATTTTAAATATTATTTTGAAAATGTAATAACATTTTCCTACATAAATAATAACATAAATAATTTAATTTAAAATAAATATATATATGTATATATAAATATGAATAAAAGAAATATTTAAAATTAAATTTAAATTAAATACAATAAATTTAATATATCAAATAGTCTAGAAACTTTGCTAGCTCAACTCAATTGTAAGCCATTTTGCAACACTGTGCCTGCTGCACACTAGAATAAGCTATATACCTATGCATATATATAGTGTGTTCTATTTATGCCAATTTGGGAGCGCGCCATTTTGCGCTGTCTCGGCCGCACTCGAAATCGAAAGAAATCCAATGAATACCCCAAAAAAAAAGAAATGCTACACACAATGCACATGTAAGGAAATGGTAAAATGCTTCGCAAAATTGCAGTATTTTTTAGTGTACGTGCGAGTGCAATGGGTGTGTGTGTGTGTGTGTGGTGTAAACTGGGGCCAAACATTGCTGGCTTGAAAACAAGCTTTCGCGTTGGCCAACTTAATCGTCAACGTCAACATTGTTGCAGTTGCAGCAGCAGCAGCAGCAGCATCAGCAGCACGGTTGACATTTGACCTTGCCATTTTCCCCTTTGTGTGTCGTTCCTTTTTTTAGTGTTTTATTCTCTTAGTTGCTGCCTTTTGTTGTTGCTGTTGTGGTTGTGGTGGGCACCCGTTAGGCGTTGATAAAATATTCACGCTTCTTGTGGCATTTCTCATACGCAATGTAGCACAGCGCAATGGTAATCAGGACGAGAATCGTAATGCCCATTATGATGCTGACCAGTATGATTTCGTCGTTGATGCTCTTGTAGGAGTGACCTGCAGAGACAGTAGGCGAAATAAGCAAAATGTAAAGAGATTAAGATTTCGTAATGGCAAATGACAAATTGCCCAACATTTGTTGTCGTTGTGCTGACTGCGTTGAGGTGTGGCTGCTGGGCTAGTTACGGCTGCTGGAGGCAGTTCGTGTCAATAAACGATTCGGTTTGTTGGGACTCATGCATATTCGGGGGACATCAACAGAAAATATATATGCGCATATTCTGACAAATTGCATTGTTACAAAAATAAATAATATCCAAGCATAAATGTACACATGTTCTGGCATGCCATCTAGAATAAATAACATACGTCCGCACACGCACATGCACACACACTCACACATAGACAAAAAGGACATAAAAAATTAAATTAAATTTGGATTCGCAATTCGTTTTCATTGTAAAAGATGTATCAAAGTTTTACGATTCCTGCACGTGGATTATTAATGCCATTTTAAGCTTGCAGCGAAAACAATGCCAAAAAGACATACACAAAGTCGTATAAAATATTTTTGGGCGAATTTGTGCTCTTTAAATGTTGGATAATTTTTGGTACTGTCTTGTTTTCTAGATTGTAAGTTATCATAATTTTAAGAGTTATCCGCCTTTTCTTTTAGTTAAGTTAACATTTTCTTTTTAAGTGAATTTCTGGCGCTTTCGTAACTTATTTTGTTTTCGAGTTGAACTTATGCAGAAGAATTGGCAAGTTTTTATGAATTTTCGCTTCGCTTGCATTCAATTTGATTAGCTTTATAAACGTATTACAATATGAACATATGTGCGTAGATATTTCTTGGCTCCGCCTTTTGCCAAATGACGGCCACTTTTTTCCATGCGCCCCATTTGGCCAGATGCCTGCTCTCTGCGTAATTTAACACATAATCGATGAAGCATTTGCCCTTCTCCAGCAGAATATCTGGCCAAATTAAAATCGTTTATACAGCCAGCCAAAGTGTCGCCGGGCATTGTGTGGATCTGTTAATTAGATGGCTCAAATGACGTCGGTAAGTTGAACTCGAGTCGCCTTTTAACGATCTGATGACTATGTGGCCTAATTAATTGAAATCAAATGGCGTGCTTAATGTGCCTGTGCGACGTCAAGTGTCCTGTAACCATGTGCTTGAAATTTTGTACGAACTGCCCCCAAATGTAGGCAACGTTTGTTGTGCATTAATTTTATCTCTATGTATGCATGTATTTGGTTTGAATAAATATCTTTGAAAGTAAGACATATGTAACTTTGGCACCAAATCTTGTATACTTATATCTAACCATATCTGGCAGATGCCAACTTTGGCCCGCATCTTGTACAGGAAAATATGTATGACATGCAATATTCTCAGGACAGCGGGCACGTGTAAATAAAATGTTGAATTGTTACAATTAAATTTAAAAAATATATCAAAAACAAACTTATATTAAAAACAATGTTAATTAATTTAATTAATTTAGTTATTAATGTTAGAAAGTTCAGGAACTGCAGCATCTGCGTGCTACCACGTCGCTTGGTAAAAAAAAAAGAAACAAAAAATATTCATAAATTACAATTCAAAAATGTCGCGACGCCTAAAAAAATATTTTGCCAAAGTTTTAAAGGGAAGCCGCTCGGAAAGATAATTAAAATAAATGCGAATTTGAAATTAAAATGCGCAGGCTTTAAGAACAGCCAAATCTGAGCTAGAACTTTAGCAGCAAAAAACAAACAATAAACAAAAGACTATGCTTGGCAGACTGAAGATTAGATACCGCGCATAACTGCGGAGTTTGTTTAAGATATCTTGAGAGACGGAAAAGTTAACGATGCAAAAACCGGATTCTTCCTGTAAAGCACAGGTGGACATTGGGAGAAGGCCACAGCGACTCGGCTGTTGATAAAGATCAAGAATATATAGTATATATGTGCTAGGAAATGCCTGATCAGGAATATATAAACATTGTAAAACCAGAAATGTCCCCTCTGCAAGGGTATTAAGATTCATTTATTGTGTTCTCGATTTTGGGCTTCGCTCGCTGTTGCACGACTTTTTAGCTCGTGTGAAAACATTTAAATCATTTTCTGCTTTTTTTCGTTTTTAGCTGAAGACCCCAAAAAGTTTGTCAAACTATGAAAAACGCCTCCCAACGAAATCTGTGCATTGGATATAAAATTATTTATGGGATGTCCAACAAAAAAAAAAAAAAAAAAATAACAAAAATTGAGCTGTCAAAGCGCAATTTGTGAAATAGACAAAAAAAATAGATAGAAATATCAAATGCAGGACTGCGTTAGGCTATATGCAAGAAACAAGCCCAAGAAAAAATTGAAATCTAAATGCGAATTGGCATACGAAACAAACAAACCGTGAATTATTGAGATTTACGGCGTGCAAGAGAAACGGAACATTGGGCCGTGTCAACATTTTAGATATTCTATTCCAATGGAGGGGCCGCCCGTGGCATAGATTTTTGTATTAAATTTCGTTTATTGTTTCTGCCCGTGGATACGGTCAATAAAGCTATTTGTATTGTTATTATGGATGCGGCCGATATTTGTCATAATAATCATTCTGTTTTTGGTTGTGTGGGCGACAAGGTTTTGCGGGCCTTGAGGCCTGCATTTGAGAACTTCCGCTCAAACAGCTCAACGTGATTTGTTCTGATTGAAGCTTTTTACAAACAAGCAAATATACATATATATATATATATAAATACATATATACACATGCTGTGCATAGGGAGAGTCAGCTCGGATTAGGTTGCGTAGCTTGTGCTTCTGTGTTCACGAACATTTTTGTGACTGCAGCCCCTCAGCTTCCTGGCATCTTCTTCTTGGCCTTGGCTTTAATGCCTGTCTGCTAGGACATAAGCTTTAATTTCAATTTACCTTTCCAAGACTTTGCTGTTGGGGTGGCAAGTGCAAAAGGAAATTGTCAATTATATAACTTCAAAGCGTTGCTCCGGCTACGGATTTAGCATCAAATATGCAACAGCTTGTGGGCATGGCCGGGCACAGTTGTAGTTTTGCATACCAAAATAATAAGCGCGAAAGCAATATTTGGGTCGGCAGAAGGAGGACAGAGCTTATTAGAGAATCAAGTCCTTGGGCTATTTTCGGCAAACGAGCTGTCTAAATGAACTCGCGGTGCAGCAATAAGGTTGCAGGCTCAAATTTTAGACTTGTCCTGGTCAAAGGCCAAAGTAGCAACCTTTATAATTACTAATTATATTCCATTCTAACAAGATTTTTAACTGCAACACTTCTCTATCTCTCGTACGCTTTCAAATGAACTCAAAGTTGGCCTTGCTTTAAAATTTGTTTTTCGAATTTAGATCAAATTTGTGATGTAACGTAGCAAAATCAGTGTTCGTTATATTGTTCGTCTATTTGTAAAAATTATCGTACGTACAAATTAAAAATACAAATTTAACAGACCAGAGTTACCAATGGCCGAGTGAGTACAGAGTGCAATTGAATATTCATAAAATATATACCCCATTTTTGCCGCGCGCAGCGAGGAGAAAAGCTCGGTTGGGAAAAGCCTGAAGCAATGCTGCAAGTTTCATTGGAGGGGCAAAGGGTCTATCATCATCCCATTGATTACCTTGCCCATTTTGCTCTATGGCTATAGCATTGGGTCATCCGTAAGTTAGCGAATATGATTGGCCCAGTAAGGTCTCTCTCTCTCTCTCTCTCTGTCTGTCTCTATTCATTAGGAATTCAAGTGCATGTATCTGGTGCTGAACATGGCGCTCTTCTGGATAACAGAATGCATCCCACTCTATCTGACATCCATATTTCCGGTGGTGTTTCTGCCGCTGTTCAGCATAATGGTGGGTAGAGAACTGCATGAGATACGATCACTATGATTGATAAGTAACGATTCCATTTAGAGCTCGTACGATGTATGCCAGCTGTTCTTTACGGATACCTTGGTTATGTTTTTGGGTGGTCTCATTATTGCTCTGGCCGTGGAGTACAGCAATCTGCATCAGCGCATCGCGCTGGGAACAATTCTGTTGGTTGGCTGCAGTCCCAGACGGTAAGACGGTTCAGATGAGTCGAGGTCTAGCAAATGTGTGTCTAGCTGTGTGATTGTCCCCTTCTTCCAGCTTGCATTTAGGTCTCGTTGCGGTCACATGCTTTATATCGCTTTGGATATCGAATTCGGCAGCTACCGCCATGATGTGCCCCATAGTCAAGGCTGTGCTCATGGAAATGGAAGCTGTAAGCGATCTAAGCCTAATATTTCAACTACACAACCCACAGCTTAATCGAAATCTACAATTTTATATAGCAAAATATATTTCAAGTGAGCATGACACAAGAGCAGGAGCCCATGGAGGAGGGAGAGTGAGTACTACTAAAAACTTATCTTATACTCTACATATTGTGACAAGAGCTTAATTTGATTACGTTTTGGTCAGTCCACCGCATCCGTCCATAATATCGTTGGCATTTTATTTCGGCGTTGCCTATGCGGCCACAATTGGGGGCTGCGGCACGCTCATTGGCACGGGCACAAATCTCACCTTTAAGGGTCTATACGACACGTAAGCGACACAATAAATATAGGGGAACAGTTGAGTAAATGTAGCGCTGCTTGCAGCCGCTTTCCCAACTCCAAGGAAAAGGTGGACTTTCCCAAGTTTATGATGTACTCGATACCCATGGTTGTGCTCGTCAATGTGACTCTCCTGTACTTTTCGCTGCAATTGACGCACATGGGCCTGTGCCGACCGAACAGCAACATCGGCCAGCAGATAAAGAAAGGATCCGAAAATAAGGATGTGGTTAAACAGGTGGTCGTTCAGCGTTTTAAGGAGCTGGGTCCCATGACATGCCATGAGATTCAGGTGGCCATACTATTTGTCTTCATGATACTTCTGCTCTTCTTCAAGAAGCCCGGCTTCGTAATGGGCTGGGGTGATTTCCTTAACGCCAAGTGAGTGCCACATTTAATTCCACTTATTGAAATTATTTATTCATTTAATACCCCGAATCCATTGAAAATCCATTTTAAAAAAGGTCAGAAAGAATGACAAGTCGTTCGGTCTGTGTATAATATATAATATAATATATATTCTCGTATATTATGCGCAAATCGAGTTGGTCATATTTTATTGATATCTGCTTCCATGCAGCTTCTCCGGCAGCTTGGTCCGGATTCGGGATATCTCCTAATCGGACACTCCCGACTAGAGCACACTTGTTTTGTCCATTGTTCCTCATTAACGGTTGACTGCCGCATCCACCCAGACCCATAGGCAGCTCGACGCCAGTCATGCTGTCAGTTGTCCTCTTGTTTGCCCTGCCCACACAGTATACGTTCTTTAAGTACTGCTGCGGTAAAGGTAAGTTGGCCAATCTCAGCAGGGAAGCACCTCGTCTAATATATCTACTCCCAACAGCACCCTTCCCTGGCCGAACCATGGACGCCTGCCTCTCCTGGGTGTACATACACAAGCACACACCTTTTGGTCTGTGCTTTTTGCTCGGTAAGCTGAAGTACTAGACTGGCCTGGCGTACATATGGATTTACTACTGTACTTCCTGGTTTAGGTGGCGGCTTTGCTCTGGCCGAGGGCAGCAAACGCAGCGGCATGGCCAAGATGCTGGGCGACAAAATGTCATTCGTTAGATCACTTCCAACCTTTGCCATAATTGGCGTCTGCATTTTCATAAGTCTTTTCTGCACTGCCTTCGCCTCGAACGTGGCCATCTGCAACATCCTCATACCCATATTCAGTGAGATGGTAATACCGGCAAAATGTTTAAGATACTTTCGTGTTACCCTGCTTTTATGCTTTCTCTGCCACAGGCCGTTAGTATTAAAACGCATCCATTGCTGCTGACCCTGCCCTCCGCCCTGGCCATTAGCACGGCATACCATCTGCCGGTCAGCACTCCACCTAATGCTATTATTTGCGGGTATGCTTCAATCAAGACAAAGTATTTGGTAAGTACAGGGGAACATTCGGTTTTGCAGGTCTACTACCTAACCTTTGGTGCACCTCTTTAGGCTATCGCTGGAATATTGCCAACGATTTGGGCTTTTGTCTTGCTCTGGGTGAACTCGTTGACCTTGGGTTACGTTGTCTATCCCGGCACCAAAAAATTTCCAGACGATTTATAGAGTCAGTAAAATCCGGAAAATTAGCTAAACAGAAAATTTAGGAATATTGTCAAAGCTTTTCACTAGCTCTTCAAGATGAAAAAATTTAATTTATATGTTATTTTGTTTCTTTTCTCCTGTATATAAAAACGAAAAAATACATTTTGGCAATGAATGTCAACAAATGCACTAGCATTTAAAGAATAAAGAAAATGGAAAATATTTCGGGAAAATCTGGGCATATTAAATCATGGGCCGATGCCGGAATTCATGCTGTTAGTATGAATCATCATACAAAATAGCTGAATCTATTTGGTTCGCATGATCTGCGATATTATATAGACTCTCTACTGAATAACTGAATTCGTACCGATTTATCTGGCATCGATATGTGCCGGGATGAGGTTTAATCTATGATTAATAAATAACTATTCTATTAAATTCAACTCTCCAAAGACAACACCATATACACTAGACTAGTGCTTGAACCAGCAACTTTCTTGGCCAGTTATCTAAAGGATGTCTAATATAGATCGTATCTATTGATTTAAATACTAGATTCGTCAGCAACATAATCATACCCACACTCTGTGCAATGGTAATCAAATCAGGGATAACTCCTATTGGATTGCGCCCTTTGTATAACATAACTCTATCCTTGCCGCAGCCGCCGGCTTTTAAGCAACATTTATTGCTGCTCACTCTGCCTTTTAGGCTTCCTATAAGCATGGACTATCATCTGCCGGTTGTCTGGGCCTATGTTGGCAGCAAGGCAAAGTATTTGGCAAGCATTACAAAGTACCTGTGTTTGGTTGTGAGTGTATGTTATTAACTTGGTTAACTCTTAAGGCCATGGCTGGAAATATTCCAGCAATAGCCAACCCTATCGACACTTAGCTTTACTCTGGCTAAGCGCCAAGACCTGGGGTTTGTGTATCCGACAATGCAAAGTCTTCCCAAATTCTTTGGGAGCAAAAGTTGTACGATTTGGTAAATTTTAAAAATATTTTCACAATTGGTATTCACTTAGCCAGAGCAACCAAAAACGAAGTCAATTCAATTTGTAAGCATTAAATAAATAAATAAAGGGAAACGGTTGGGTAAATATAATAACAACAATATACATTTGGCAGCCCATTAACACGACACGCTCAATAAAATTGCTATTTATTTTCAATTATATCGACAAATCCGAAGTGAGTCACCGCAGCCAAGCTTGCCACCTTGTTTAAATGCTCATTTCATGCTGTTTACCAACACTGCGGGCGGGGAGCTTACTTTAATAAGGTCCCGGTTTTTGCCCTGCCTGACAGGTGGTCTTTGTGCTGGGGATTTTCGGCGCACATTTGGCATTGTAATACACACATATATATTTATTGCATATAAATGTATATCATGGGTAGATCACAATACATAATTTACGCACAATTTGTGGCAATCAGAAACTATGATAAAGTTATACAAGAGCACAAAGCTCCGGGCTCAGGCACCGCTACAATAAAAGTGCCACACGCATACACAAGTGTGGCCAGCGGGTGGCCCGGAGGCGTTCATAAGGGCAGCAACTCACTTAAGAGGGGGCGTTTTTGGGGCAACAGGAAAACACAAAACTTTATGCAAACACAGCAAAAAGTCGCATGCCAGCAGCTCCTTGCCGCTCTTTCATAGATATTACCTACATTATATCGTCTCGTGTCTGGGCTCTAAGCAAAAGTTCTGGTCTGCATTTGAAATTCCATTTCTTGGCCATGGGTGAATGATATCAAGTGCACAAAGCCGCATAAAACGTACCCAAACACACACACAGACTCCTTGTAGTACATGTACACAAATCTATATAGATATATATATGTATATATATATATACATATTCCCCAACGCACACTCCTCCAGCACATTTACTTACATGAATGCGAAACGCAACGAAACAGAAATGTAATAAAAACACGTCTGGGGAAGTGGCCAAAAATAAGAATATAAATAAAAAAATAAAAATATATAAAGAAAGCAAAAGAAATACATATAAACACGCTTTTCCACACTGATTACTGTGGGGCATGCCACGCGGCGGCAGTTCATCAACAACAACAACAACAACAACAACAACAGCAACAGCAACAACAACAACGAGGAGGCAGACGTCAAGACGTCGCCGCTGGCTGGCAGATCCACTAAAGCCACCAAATGTTGTTGTTGATGCTCTCAATGATGAGGACAATGGCCACAAGCGTGAGCCTCTATTCATGTGCGCTGGTATGATGTGAACATGGAGGACAATACGGCATACAGCCAAGCGATGGCAAATAACACAAATAACATACAAAATCAAAGAAACAATGTAAGAATGGTGGGTTTTCCGATTATTGTGGATGATAAGGTCTTAAAGTCTTGCGTTGTAAAAAAAGTAGTCTAAGTACCGAAAACCAATAAAAAAAAAAAAAACAGCAAAGAACATTCACTAGAAAAGTTTGATTTGCGTTCATAGAAAATATTACTCTGAATAAAAATAAAATAAATGATAATAATGAAATGAAAATGTAATAAAATTCAAACTATCTGATATATACAGTGCGTTTAATACTTATAGTGAATTTAAAGCATAGATTATTATACCTTAAAAATAACACACAAAAAACTGGTTTCACAATGGAACTCAAAACATTTTATATACTTTTATTGCCTATCGATGATCCGTAAGTCCAATGAGGACTTTCAGAATTAAACTAAAATAGTTCTCAAAATATTTTTAAATTTTTAAATTTGATCAAGCTTCAAAATATTAATAAATAGAAAATATTTCCAAAAAGAAAATAAAATAAATAATATACATATTCCATGTGACGATTTGTTATATATTTTTTAATTTTATCAAGCTTTAAATTTTGTCTTTTTTATGTCAAACCAATATCGGGCATTATTTACTTAAGATATTTCAAAATTTACTATCAAGTAGAAAATATTCTAAAAAAGAAAATAATATAAATAATACACATATTTGCATGCAGCTTGTACCACTGTGCCATATGAACAGTGCCAAACTAATGAAGTTGCCAAAGATTTTGTGCGCTCGAATGTAACTGTTTATGGCTTGTTGTGTATGTGTGTGTGTGTGTGCGTGTGCACTCGTGTAAGCTACTTACTGCTGTAATAAATGTTGTCTGAATAACCGTATTTGCCGGCTGTCCTGCCGCCGCCAGCCATCTTGTTGTATTTGCTTTGCTTCCGTTTGGCTCAACTTCCGGCGAATCTAGTTGTGCTCCCAGCAGAAAACTTCAAATATTCGAATTGCCTGCTGTTTGTGATCCGCTTATGTTTATGCTTATGCGCTGTGAAGGAGAAAAGCAAGCCACGTTGCAATTAAAATGCGGTTACAAGCACATATAAAGCAACTACTCAAGTGTGTGCAAATGGTTGTATGTGTGTGTGTGTGAGTGAGTCGGCGTGTCTGTGTGAGCTCAAATACAACACAAAAAATCACAGCACACAACACAAAACGCCAGGCAAAGCGGGCACAGGCGAAACTGCCAAAAACACGTTGCGTATACGCCGCGTCAGCCACGTTCTAATTATGACACACACACGCACACACACAGGCACACAGATGCCGACCTTGTTGTGTAATTATGCATATAATTAATATGCATGTAGCTATTTAATATTAACAAAATTGTCGGCACTTCGAGCAAAGTTGCAGCAGGTAACGAAAGCAGCAGCAGAACGAAGACGCCCCACGGTACGGGAAGCAACAAATAAATTGCGTTCAATTTGTGTAATTAGTGTAAGTAGCTTTGGTTCTTGGCACTCGTGTGGGTCTCCATTTGTGTGTGTGTGTGTGTGTGTGTGCGTGTGTACAAAGCCTTCACCTCAAGTTCTTGTGGCACTTCTGGGCCCAACGTGCGAGCTTGTGTGCAGCAATTTACGAATTGCATTTGGGCCAAGTTCTCTGAACTGCATTTGGAATGCTGTCCGCCTCGAGGCGTGGCAAGTTTAATGAGTCCCAGCCCAGCATGTGCAACATATAACCACATCCCAATTGCATGCTACCTACGTGGCAGGCATACGTGCCTGCCCAACTTGTGGTGCGGCTTCAATTTTGCTAACCAACAATTCGCAATGCCTGAAATTGCCTGTAAAGGTTCCCCCATTGACTTTGGCGCATGAGCAATAATTGAATTGAAGCATATCTCTCCTTTTTTTTTTTTGGTTGAGTCAATTATTCATATTTTTTGATACCCAGCAACCATTAAAGAAATGGTAAAGGAAGGTATGATAACATTTTTGATATCTGAACTGGCAGTAGAGTACACATCCTACATATCTCATTAGCGAAGATATTCTATTTTCATATATATTTGAATACTCTTATAACTTATAGTATTTTCTGACTTATGCAAATTATGAAAAGCCATCTTTAAAATCAAACGAGAGAGTAATTTTTCATAGTGTGGGACTCAGAGCAGACTCAGTCTGCTGGTCACAGGGTATCATCTAGTCGTGACCTCTCGTCTAGAGCACTTTTACTCGTTTCAATTTCCACTTAAAGCTAGCCCCACATGAATTGTGGTTTTATTATTCTACTATTTTACAACTCACGCATCCGCACAGTTATATATTTTCACATATATGTATAAATTTTCAGAATTTTACATCATTTGACTTTATTTTATGGTCAACCGGTGGCTTGTTTTCCACGACAGAAATTCAGCAGAATATTTTTTCAAATGCGAATTCTGGGGATTTATTAAATTATTAAGGTTCGCCAAGCAACAAGCCTCAATTAGCTTAAGCAGCTTTCGATTTATAATAGTTAGTTGCTTCAATTTAATCCTCTTATTAGTTTCAAAGTTTCGGTGCTTTTTGCTGTAAATCATCAGGTAAAGTTTTGCCATGAGCCTTAATTGCCGCACCTCAAAGCGATTTATTATCGCGCCCAGCGACGCCCAACGATCAATTTCTCAAACTTTCCTTTTTAATAAACATGAAAAAGCTAGCTGAAGCACTTTCTAAGGAAACGCAATTTGATTACAGTTCAGATTTATAAATTTACAAAATTCGCACGTATCGCAAACAAACTCAATTACAGGCACAAAAGGGCAAATCTGACAGTTGCACTTTGATCTATTGACATATACATATATATATATATATGTATATATGTATATACGAGAAATTCTAATAAAAGTTTGTCCTTTTGAAGGGACTCGACAGGCTGCTTGACATTTTTCAAATACCAATAAAAGTGAAAGCAATAAAAGATTCTTGGGGCGTGCCAAATATTTGATATGCATTTTCTTTAAGCATTTAACAACCTAACTCTGGTGCCTAAAACAAGGATTGGATTAACAAATTTATGAAAGTTGCTTTACAAAAAACTTTGAGGCTTAAGCAGAAGAAGAAGAAAATGTACATTTTAGTGATTGATAATGCAATGCCTGAGGCTAAAACCAAAACAAAATTAAATAGTAATAAAAGATGAAACGATAAATTTTGATAGTTTTTTCAGACATATTTATGAGAAAGATTAAGATACTACACAAAAAGCCAAGTACAAGATTTAATTAAGGTAATTGTTTCAGATAAATTTATAAGATAGATTAAGAAACTTAACAACAGGATATAAAGGCCATACATAAAGAATCAATTTAAATAGTTGCTTAAGATATATTTTTTTGAGAAAGATTAACAGACAACAAAAGATAATTATATAATAGGCGATATATTAGACTACTATAACTTGATTTTTCAACATCGATATGGGTATATATAGTGGTCCGACTTTTATAATATTTTACTATGTGTATGAAGTATAGTCAGGATATCTTGAAAAAAAAAATAAATAAATAAGTGTTACAGCATATAATTTTAAGCTGATTGTTCCTATGCCAGCTATATGCTATAGTGATCCGATATGATAGACTCCAACAGAGAAATCTGCGTTACGCATTTCATGACAAAATGATAACACTCTCTGCAAGGGTATATTAGAAGGGGTATGAGAGAAAGAAGAAAAGAATAAAACATGAAATTGATTTGAATGAAAGCCGAAAGTCTTAAGTTCAATACAAACGCAAATCCGGACCCAAAAGGGGCTAAAACAAAAAGGAGTTTAAAACTCGTATAAAATATTGAAAAACTGATTAGGAAAGTTGGTGCAAATTGAAGTTAAACTGAATAAATTGATGTGATTTATGGATAGCTCAAAGATTTGCGAGTCATAATAAACTAATAGAAAACCGCATTTAAATGATGGACAGGGCGAATAGTTGAAGCACAACACATATGCGAGCCCCGACTCCAAAATTGCCCCAATAACGTTGGGAAAAGTTTTTAGTATGCGCAGAATGGGAATGCAGACAGCTGTGTTTTGGCCCGACCAAAGGCTGGAGTCCCGGCTGCCGCGCTTGGGGCTGTGCGCCCAATGAAAGCGATACTCATCAGTGCGTTCAATCTGCTCCGCTTATTGGTGGCATGCTGACGAGTCCTTGAGGCCAGTTAAACGGACGCATGGACGACGGGTCGCAGTGCGCAGAGCTGACTCGGCTTTACCACATATTGGAGCACATGTCTGTTGGATTCAACCTGAATGCGGTTGAGGTGTGCGTGCTCCAATCCAGGTGCGAACATGTGTTGAACAGCTCGAAAGCACTCAAACAGACACGAGAACACGCTGTTTATGAGTATGCCCACAAGATAGAGAGATGCCATCATTGTCCAATGTTCGTTCTACCACTTAGCCACCCATATAACGCCCAAATGATGTACCGAAAAAATAAAAAAACAAAAAGCAAAATAGCACTAAAGTTGTCGCCTCTATTTCCGCTTGGATTGCCCATCAAGTGTGCGTGTGTGTGAGTGAGTGCGTGAGTGCGTGAGTGTGTGTGTGAGCGAGCGTATCCGTGTCGCATACACAGCAACAACATGCTCTTTCGCATCCACAACCAGTTTGCTTGGGCATGGCATTTGCGCACGAGTGGCCCATTGTCTAAATTATTTCTATGGCGCAAAGTTTTCCATTTGCCGTTGAATTTGCGTGCTCGGCCCGGATGGAGCCTGGCACCCGGTTACGGTAACGGCATTTCCATCGTAATTCTAAAAAAAAAACAACAAAAACAAAAAAAAGAAGCAAACAATGCATCAAATTGAAGACGCACGTTTTCCCCCATGTTTCGTCATCTGCAGTGATTCCTTGTGATTGCCCCTAATTGTAAGTCAAGTCAGTCGCGCATTCGCTAACAGCAAACACATACACATACACATACACACGCACTCGCACACACACATATACACAAATATACTATATAGCAGGTAGCATGTGATATGAATCGAGTTTTTAATGGTCTCTCTGCTTATAAATGGATTCTATTATATTTAACAGACAATTTTAAAAGATAATGGAAATATTTAAGAAAACCTATTTGTCGTTTTGATTAACATCAGTTATAACATATAGAAATCGGAATGTTGTCAAAATATATCGAAAAACTCAAATAATATAAAACTAAGCATTAAAGTTCGACTAATTATAATAAATCATAATATAATATATATATTAAGTAAGGAGCCTAGCTATTTGCCAGTGTTGGTTAATATTAATTAAGAAATTTAAAGAAAGCTTTTTCCAAAAACGAGCTATAGATTATTTCGATACGTCCGAACTTAACAGAAAGTAGTTGGCAAGAAAGCTATAAGATATGGAAGTATATATGTATATAGCTTTATCAGATCGAATTCGCCTTCTTCAAAGCTCTACAAGTTTTGTAGTATTAACACATTTTATGACACAGAATATATGTAGAATATATATAAGTAAGTCCCAGACTATATATGGATATCTATTAAAGGGTTTTCGTCAGCATGTTTCAAATTTGGTATTCCATAACCATTTATCACTGCAACATATATGTGAGATGAGCATAATAAATCTTCCAGCTGTCAAGCCAAATATTCAAACATAATTAATGTGAGCTGGCAGAATGCCCAAAATTGCGCACCTTCAACCTTGATCCTGAACGCAAATCCAATTGAGCTGGTCAAAGGGAGCTGTGATAAGCACTTTTAACACTTGCCTGCGTCTATTTAATCGACATATTTCAATGGCTGCTAATCTGCAGTATATGTACACTGGGGACTTTGCGGCTTTGCAGGCTGCCAGTTAGGATTAGTGTCAGCTTCTCGAGCAGGAATATATGTATATTAATTGGCCATGTGTGAGACAGCTGTGAGTCGCAGTGAGCTCTTTAAAGCCATTTCAGATATTTATGCTAATGCAAGGCACTAAAAATAAGACTATAAACGCACTAACTTTTCTCTGGCGTATAAAGCTGAGAATCGTGTCTGGAAATTTTATGCATGAAGTGCTGCGAATATTTTAAGCAAATGTGCATAAAAGAATGCAAAGAACTATATGGAATATATAATAAAATTTATACGGCTCACAAGGAAGTAAAGTTAATAAGCAAAATGCTGTACTAAATACCCAAGACATAACAACTATATTTTTGCTTGAATAACCCAACCAACTCCAGGCCATCTTAATTAAATACGAAGTACAACAATGTAACTAACCTATGATAATATTCCTAAATCAAATGTATTAACAGGCGCCAAGCATTTTGGGACTTCCCCCATTTTTATGGCAAATCATAAAAACCAGAGAAAGATTTCATTGAAACGTAATGGCTTATTCATAATATGCAAATGGGTCTGTCATAAAAGCAATGCTAAATGCTTTTAACTTTACGTTGATCGAAATATTGTGAATTCTTTGGGGAATATTTGATGTGACAAATGTGCTAAAAGGCGAATAACAGATTTTGACTTAAAAAAAAGGAAACAACGCAATTTAGTTTCGTTAAACTCAAACCCGAAACTGAACTGAAAGGCATGAAGCGTATTTGGATAGAGATTGATGTGGCTCTAATGAACACGCAAAAATGCATTGGATTAGAGTATTCGCTTACAAAATACTCTGTAACCAAATATTAAAACGTTTTATATATTTATTAAATTCCCTCTGCTTTCTTATACATTTTTGTTTCTAAATTAACATTTTTTAGGTGCCCCAAATATCATAACTTTGGCTTTAATTAAGAGGTTTTCATTAAGATACAAAAGATAATAAGATATACTTTACAGATTGACTTTAAAATTATATATATTTTTGTTAAGTTTACTTTAATATACACTTCAAAGAATATTTATTCGACACGTCCCTTTAAGATCCCCCAATATAAACTTTCTATATTCTTTATAGAGCTGTTGGACTACTCCACACCAGAGACGAAAAATACCATTCTAAGGTTATAATTGAGAACAAACTATTGAAATTCCTTGTCTACAGACTAGACTTCAAGTATATTTTGCTCAGTCTTCTGTTCCAATTAGAACGCATTCCATTTGGATAGGTTAGTACTAGACCTATTTAAACATTACAATGAAATTCCCCTTCCCAACAACTACAGTATAACCTGGCAATACCCTTTTTAATCATTCGTGTGGCTTTGGCACACAATGAACGCACCTTTTATAAAATAAAAGATACTAAAAAATATAAAATAAAAACAACAAAAAAATAATAGAATAAATAAACGGCACTTTGACGCTGTGGTGCACACAGGTTTAAGTGCGTTCAGCCCGAGCGCCCATCTATCCGGGCTGTCAGTTGGCAGCTGGCAGGCTTTAGGCGACTCCATAATTGATTTATGCGGCCATATGGAGGTGGTAGCTGATCCGGGACAAATACTTACCCCGTGCCGTTCTCTGGCTTAAATCGTGATGAGCTTTTGTTGTCTGTTAGCCATAAAATGCCTAATTAAAGCTGTAATTGAATTTAATTGCCAACAGTTGATCAATATGCCCGCAAATAGCACGCAGCTGAAGTCCTGGATGGCCACGGGGCGTCCTGTGTCCCGCTGCTGCCAGCTGCCTTTGTTCGAGCCGGGGCTAAGGCACTGGCCGAGATAAACAGTAAACAGTAAAAACAGGCGACACAAAAGCGCGCGAAATCACACAATCAAATACACGCGCACACACGCACACGCATACGCACACGCGAACGCACACTAATAGAGCAATATATACACGCACACACAGTCAGGACCCGGCCTTAGCACTTTAATGTGGCGCCAAATGATGCGGCTTCCACGTCCACGTCGTCTGGCTTGTTGTTAGGATCTGTTCGATGCGCGACCGTCGCAGCGCCGTCTGTGCCATCTAACGGTATTTGTAGTACTGATTGCCCAGCACTGGCAGCCAGATGAATGAACCAAAAAATTGCCAAACAACTTCGCATTGTCGGTGTAAGATGTGAAAAGTTTGCGCGCGCCCCATGGACCACAGCAACACACATACACAACACAACACACTCACACGAACACACACAAGCACACGCGTTCACAGCGCGCGGAGCTTTTACTACGCGCCGAGCTTTTGGGGATGTTGTATTTACCCAACCCTAGACTGAGCTTTGCTCTTGGGTGCTGTTTGCAAAGTCAAAGTGCTGTATAAGTTGGTAATTGTTTCAAATTCTAGACAGTTTTTAAAATTACTTTTACAGATATTGATATAAGTTTTTAAGTTAAAATAAAAATTGTTATTATATATATAATGTTATTATCTTTATTATAATTTTCATTTTTATTTCTCATTTTATTATGGCTTATAATTCGTACAAAGGTGTTTTACCATGTCCTTCGGCTAGCACATTGCAATGCAAATACTTTAGACTGGGACTCGAACCGGCATCCTCCCGAGCTCACTTGCCTGATTAACTAATTTACTTACAGAAAATCAGCTCTTGTTATACTCCTTATATATTAATATAAATCTGAATATGAAATATTGTCTGTGCGTACAACAAAATATTGTTACTTAGAAAAACCTACAAGAGCTGCCTGTATGTCTTGAGAGGACTTGTAAAATTGTATAAACATATTTTGTTGAATGAATATTAAAATTTTTCTTTAAATTGTGGAAATATTTTTTTGTTGATGACGTTTAATCAATTCTATTTTGTAGTATACATTTTCGTTAATCGAAAGATTTCTTGTATTCATTTTGCGTACACGAGACTACGAAACCTTCTTGTTGCTAATCGTCTACTTAGCGATAGTACATATATTATATTATTATGACTGCTTAGAGATTGTATTTTACATTATTTCTACATATTTGTGGTATGGTCTTAATACAAGGGATTTACTTGGAAATAAAGCTTGCAGCGAAGTAATTCAGACTTTTCTCTCCAGCTTTTGAAAACATTTTCATTTTTACAAATATTATTACTTAATTTCCAAAGGCACCTTAGCACAACTGAAAGTCTTCGCCTTAGAGCATTTTGTGGGAGTTAACTTGGCTAGAGATCCAAAATATCCATTCCATTGATTTAGCTAACAGATTGAGTTATTATAAGTGCTAACAGGGCGAATAATTCGCTTATTTGTTGCGACTTTGGAGTCCAATGGAAAGCTCTGACGTCGAATCCATTCAGTTTTGTTCAACACGTGATGCGTAGCAACAGACGCTGTGTGTGCGTGTTGGCGTGTGTACGTGTGTGTGTTGATGGGGATTATCAGTAAATGATTTGCTAAACAAGGCAGATGATTTAATTGAATTTTCAGTGCTACAGTTCAAATCAGTTGGCACTGAGCCGCCCAGAGATTAGAATAAAAGCTTGAAGCGTTGGGGTAAAAAAGAAATGAAGTCATCATTTATAATAGCTCGTCCACGTTGTAAGCGAATCCTCCCCCTGCTACCAATACACATACATTTATATATATATATATATAAACATTTATTTATGTTTATTCCGAGTTGTATAGATTATATTGGGTTTACTGTATGTATATTACTTTATTAAATATTTTAAAATTAATAATTACAAAATATATTATCATTATGTATTACATATTTGTGAAGGCTGGTGGGGGCAGTAGGCTGGAGGGTGTTGGGGGATTTGGGGCTGTGATTGGGAAGGTTCGGGGTTTTTATTCTTCTGCTGCAGCACAACTTAAAAATATCACACACAAATACCACGCAAGAAAAGAAGCCAAACAACTTAAGCGGCAACTGGGCCCAAAAATCGTCATTTTTCAAGTTGAAGTTTTTTCATCTTTCTAAATCTCTGCGCACTGTCAAAACTGGAGTTGGATCTAGCATCTATGGACACTCCTTGTCGCTGATCTTTTGAAAGTCTAAACAGTGAACAAATACATATAATGAATAATAAAGATACGAATAGGAATGTGAATGTGAATGTGAATGTGATTCGTTCTGTGGTATACTCACTTGCATTCTGCAGGCAATTCTCCGTTTTCATAATGCAAACATTGCGATACGTTTTGGTGGTGCCTTTGTCATCCGCAGCGCATATATATTTACTCTCCTGCGTATCACACTCCATGGCACACTTCACATTGGGATCGGGCAGGCTGAGGCACTGCACCAGCGTCAGCGCATAGAGCGTCACTATATAAAAATGCACAAAATGAAAAGAAAAACAAAAACCATCATAGTTAGTCATTTGAGCGGAAAGTGTGCAAAACTAAAAAAGAAAAAGAGAAGAGAACTAAACAACATGGCCCGCATACCAAATGCGAGTGATCCACCCAATATGATATCACCAATGATAGCTACCACAACTGAACACCAGCAATCTGTATGATCCATCGGTCGAGCGATCGTACGCCCCTCGTTTCTAGACGCCAGAACGTCTGGCATGTCATTGGCCGGCCGGAAAGCGCGACCATAATACTGACTATTACCATTACCTGGCACAGCCGGGTCTCGAGTGCTACGAGTGCCTAACTGGGAATACTCATAAGGCACGAACATCTCGCAATTAACACTCAATAGCTAATTAGCCAAATAAGCAATCACTTTCGTGCAGTTAAATTAAATTAAGCAAATACGAAAACAATTTTGCACAACTCGCAAAGCTAATGAAATGATTTGGAGCATATTACTTTTATGATTCAAAATATTTGTTATATAATAAATGAGATAAATAAAAAGATTGTTCTATAATAGTTATTATAATAAGTAAGTGTAATGTGAGTTGATTTGTCAAATTTTAATAAGTAAATAAAGGCAACAACATTTTAAATTATTTCACAATTACATTATTAATGCAAGAAAATTAAATAAGATTTTTGGAAATCAAAAATAACTTTTGATTTTAAACGAAAATATTTTATAATTTTTTTAAATAAAGTCAAGATTGTGTAAATTGTAGCTTTTTACCAAAAGAAATATAGACTGCACAGTTAAAAAATATAATCACATTTCATAAGGTAAACAAAAAAAAATCCATACAACTTTTCTACTATAACATTCGATTATACTTTAAATATTATTTCTTTGATTTAAGACAACCTTTTGGAATATTTCTGAAATTTATATACTACTGCGAATAATTCAGTATCAATACGTAAATAGGTCAGTTCTGTTGTTTGTTGATTTGGAAATTTTAAACTCATTTACATATTTATTGATTGCAAAAAAAATTGTTATTGTTAATAAATATGTGAATCATAACACCAAGCAACAACAACTGTGAAACAGAGAAGAAATAAATAAATCCTATCATACCAAAAATATTAGTATAATTATTTAAGAGCTTTTCTTGCATCGTCTTAACTTTTTCCCTGCGTGGTCGCCAGAACTTTTCTTTCGCGGAATTTTCTCTTCAAATCGTTTGCTAGAAGGACATATTCCGGAAATGTTATGCACTTATGCGAGAACTTTCTCGTGAAGGAATTTTTTGTTCTACTCGTCGATTAGAAGGAATTTTCGCAGAAATGGGAAATTTTCAACAAGTAGTGTATTTTATGGAAATTTTTGATTAACCGGAAACACACCTTTAGAGAATCTTCAGAGAAAAAGAACTTGGTAAAGGAAACGTTAAATAAAAAAAACCTAAATATATATAGTTTCCTGTTGCGCAGTGTAAGCCGCAGACTAATTTATGCACGCTTGCAGGTTAATCCGAAACATTAATTGCGAGTTCTGGGAATTTTTTTAATTGAAATCTTTAGCTGAAACAATTAGTACGTGATAAATTTGTGACAATATACCAGAATATTTGTAAAATTAGTTATTTCCGTTTATGTTTTGAATAAGCTAACAAATAAAATAAATAATTTATATGCAAGTACTTACAAGCAAAGAATACTGCAAACAGCTTCATTTTGTTGTAATATATATGTAAATGTATATATATGTATATATATATATTTATTGTATATATAATTTTTGCGTTGTGTCTTTAAAGATGGGTTCGCTGTGATCTAACACACCAACTAAAAACTCGGTCGCACAATAATTTATTTATATTTATTGAACTTTACGGGTCAGAATCGTATGTGGTATATAGAAGCAGTTATTAGTCGGCGCTTGTTTTTTGTTGATCAAATTTTTACACGAGTACTATATGTATATGCATATATTTGTGTATATGTATATGCCGTATGCTGTATAAGTATTTATGCTGCGCTATATACTATTGGGATTGTCACTGAACTTCAGACACGTGTATAGCTATATATACAAATATATGTACATATGTTGATTATTTGTTGTTGAATACGCGACACAGTCGTTGCTATAAGTATGCGCGCACTGATTCCGTTTACACTGTCGGCGAGGCCGCAACAGCACGCGTCCGAATGCGAACTGAAACTGAACCAAGCGCAAAGATATCCTCCAGCCGGCGGGTGCGAGAGAGTGAGCTCTGACACTGACTCTGACTGAGACTGAAGCTGGATGCTGGATGCGATGCGGCTGCTGCTCTGCTGCTGCTGCTGCTGCGACTGATGCGACTGCTGCTGCTGCTGCTGATGATGATGTAGTCTGCCGGCCGCTGTTAGATACAGATAGAGATAAGTATGTGTGTACGCGCACACACACTCACACTCACAGTCACACACACACAACAAGGCACGTTCGAATTTTTAGTTTCGAGTTTGAGGTTCAATAATCAATCAACCAACTGACTGATTGGTTGACTGACTGACTGACTGACTGACTGACTGACTGACTGACTGACTAACTGACAGACTGACTGACTGACTAACTGTTTGACTGGCTATCTTGGCTTTGGCTTTGGCTTTGGGCTGGCTCGTCGTAGCGCACACGAATGATGTGCGACCACACAGTGTCTGTTAGTTTTATAGAATTTTTTCCATGCTAAAATTGATTTACGCTCGTGTCGTCGTCTTCAGTTTTCTTTTCGTTTGCTTTGTACATTTTGCCTTTATTTTATTTTATTTATTTGTTGTTGTTGCTGTTAGTATAAGTGTATGTGTGTCTGTGTATATATGTATATGTGTGTGTGCGTGTGTGAGTGTGGCTGGTACAGCCGATCGCTCGTTTGATCGCTTGATCGATAGCTCTGTAGGCGGGTCACGCGTCACGTTCTCCAGCCCCTTGGTGGCTTTTTTTTTATAATTATTTGAATTATTTATGTGTTTTATGCAGTCAGTCGTCACATCTGATATTTTCAGTTCCTTTTTGATTTATTTGTGTACTGTTTTTTTTTGCTCAAAATAATGCTCAGCTTTTTCGTTAATTGGTTCACGTTCACGTTTCGCTCGATACTGTTCGCTGGCAACGTTCAAATTTCGTCAGAATCGAAATATTTGAAAATTGTTTTATTTTATATATGTATATATCTCCTCTTTTTTTTTGCGACGGCCACGAGTTCAGTCCACTCGCAGCATCAGCGTCGTCTATGAGTTTCCTTTGATGCTCAAATATTTTGGCAATATTTGTGTATTTGTTTGTGCAGATCGTTATTTATGAAAGCGCGACGCATTTGACTTTTGATTTAGATTCACATTTTTGTGCGTCTGTACAACTGTTTTTTTTTTTTTCCTTTTTGGCTTATCAGTTTGCTTATACGCTAACAAGTATTTAGACACGATTATCTCAGAACTCATTCAAGAGATTCGTTTCATTTTATGTACTATCAAAATACTCTGACTAATCGCACAAGGTTCGCGTTCTATAAACATTGAATGTGTTTTGTGGTTTTTCTTGGGATTTTTTTACACGTTCCGTATTGAAAAGTAAACAATAAACATATTTGTTTATATGCATTTTAAGACCAATTAATATTTGATATTATTTTTGGTGGCATTAAGTATCGCCCAAAAAACCCAAGATACCCCATTTAGAGTAGTACAACATTTCTTCTTTTTTTTTGGGTTTTATGCTGGTGCGCCTAAGGCATATCTACCAGAAGGTGATGTTTATTCGAAAAACAATGTGCTTAGAGTTAAGAAAGCGTGGAATTTCCAAAAAAAAAACTATCAAGTTCATAAAATGTTAATAATTTAAGATACTACTAAATTTCTGTTGAAAAAGTTTGACTAGATGGAAGAATAAAATTTGATATGCTACTCAACATTAATAAAATACAATTAGATTCTCAATAATTAAATAATTTTCTCAAAGACTGTCAATGATCTTAAGTCTGGAGAAGTAGAGCAACGCCCGCCAGTGTCCATTTGCCTGGCTTATCTTTGGTCTTCAGGTTAAAGGTCCACACATAGGTTGGACCGCGGGTGCGTGTCTTATAAACGGGGCATTCGTACATGTTCCTCAAGTCCTGCTTGTCTTGGGTAATTGCCTGCGTTGTATAAAGAAACGATCGAGAAATAAGATTTTGATTTATTCGAACATGCGCCGCTTTTTAGACGCCACAGATCCGTTCCAAATTCAAAGTTGATTCATTTCATTTCATTGAAATTCACTTTGGGCAATTTGCATTTGAAACTTACTCGAATATTGATCACTGGCATTGGCGGATAAAGTTCTTTGAGACGTGATTCCATAATAATGCCCTGCTGTATATCCCATCTGGCGCCCTCCATATAGATGCCATGCACACAGCAGCCGTCCCGCGGTGCCGTTCTATAATTATAATCACAAAGATTTGCAACTGATATAATATCAACAAATATACTTGGATTGTTCTCTAAGCTGTTGGCAATTAATTAGTGGGGCGTCTGAGTCTGTGTCTGGGTCGGGGCTATTGTTTGCCTTAAAGTGACGCCAAATCCATAATGCGAGAAACTGGGCGCCACTTAATAAGCAATCGGGTAAGAAGAATCAAGAATCAAGAATCGACAAACGACAATCGACAAATAGACAATTGTTAATTACATGCCATTAATAATTGCTATTTATAAACATTTGTTCGTATGTATTAATGTGCTGTTTTAAAATTAGCTCTCATGAAATAGCATTGCGGCTATTATTAGACACAGCTTGAAGCCGTTGGCCGCTCTCCGCTGCGGATGAGCCGCTGTTTACACTATCTTTTGTATGGAAGCATTGACGCAAGTCATGTACATTTACATAGCTAGTTGATATGACGCTTAGAGCTGGGCTCGTGTCGTGTTCTCGTGTGTGTGAAAACCTAACAGGATGTGTTAGTGTTAAATCTGGTTTAAGAATCTCTGTTTGGCTGCTCAGCAATAATATTTGCCTCTTACAGGACTTATTAGAAACCTAACACGACTAAGCACGACATATAACGACCTTAACAAAACCGCACACGAATTATGAAGATCTAAACATCACACTATGTCTAAGCACGACTAAACTAAATCCGAAGCTAACACAATTTATAAACACCTAAGCATTACTTAACTTTTTAGCAGTACCTAACACAACTTTACCATGGCCAATCACGACCCAGCGCGAACTAGACACGAACTTAACACGATTCTATCGCAACATACTTCATTATGTTGTCGATAGCACGAGCTCCTCTCTAATGATGATTAGTACAATATGTGACTATATGTGTGTGTGTGTGTGTGTGTGTGTCACCTAATTGGGTTGTCAGTAATGAGCATTTAGCTACATTACAGCTAGTTATAGCCTTTTTTGTAGTATATGAAATGCATCAATATGTTTTAGGAATGATGAATAATATACATATGCAATATGATATATTTATATGGCAATAATATTGTTCTCTCTGTCTGCCGCATCACAATCAGCAGCCAGACAATGGTTGAAAAATCAGTCGCAGGTCTACACATATTTTTCGTGTGGCAGGGGTCAGCTTTAAAGTCAATTAAAATTGCGTTTTAATAAAGTAGTGTGCGCGTTTGTCGACGTAAATGCCACTTACGTAAATTCCTCCTTCTGCTTCTTGGTCACGTCACACTGCAGGCACATCTTGTCCAGCGGCAGCTCGTTGCGACGCGCCGTGCTCTGCATGATGGCCGTTAGCAGCGATTGGGGATTAAAGAAGCCCGCCAGCCAGACGCAGGAGGGTAGCTGCAACAACAACCAACCAACAAACAAAAACAAAAAAAAAAAAAGACCATAAATATTTGCAAACTGGTTGGTCGGGTTGGCTGCAACACATACCACAAAATCGGTGGACCATGTTTCCAGCTCTCGCAAACGCAGACACAAATCGATGAACCAATTGTTGAGACCCAGCAGCGAGGGATAGGCACGTTGCGTCCATATTGGCGGCACTTGATCCAGAAACAATGAATTCTCCAGCACCTCCATGTCCGATGTGATGGTCAATTCACCCTTTAAGCCCAGGTCGAGCTCCTTCAAGCTGCGTTTCATTTCGCTGGTCAGAAAATTCATGCGTTCGCATTCCTGAAAGGCCACAATCACGTAGGGCGTACGTTCCTCCACTTTATTCATGATCTCCACCATATTGAACTCCTCCGGCAGCTTCTCTATGATCTCATCCACAATTTGCTTGACCTTGTCCTCGCGTGTAACTGTCGCACCGCTGCCGGCGCCCGCATCCCGTGGCTGCATTTCGAAAACGGTGCGAAAAATATTCTCCGCTCGCGTCGTAAGAAATCCCACTTCTGCATTAGGATGCAGGCCATATAGATATGGCGACTCGGCTGGCATCATTTCATCCACATAGGTGTGATAGCCCAGATAGTCTGTGTTGGGCGGTGCGGGAAACGAAGGCGCCAAGAATAGCTCCCCATCGACCAGGTCCGGTTGCATGTACTCCTCCAAATAGGTTATGCACAGGCGTCTGTCCCAATCATCGGTTATGTGCCCACCGTACATAATCTCACCGAATAGATAACGCAAATCCTCCCAAGGCACCTTGGCATTGGCCTCCAAATAGTTATACAGCACCGAGACGCTGATGTTCAAGTCGCCCACATTGAAAGGATAGATCTTGTTCCAGCCCTGTGGACCAAATTTGCGTCGTTCGGCAACGACAGCGTGAAAATAGCACAGGGAGAATAGTATGGCCTTAAATTCTGCCTCCTTGCCGGACATCTCGAGGGTTTCCTGCGTGAAATTGTCCAAAGCCTTATGCAGATTGGCCAACATGCCCGTTGGCGGCTCATTGGTGATCTTTATGGACGACTCCAAGATGCCCTACAAAAGATGAAGGGATTATAAAAGACTAAATTGAAGGGAAACCGAGCATTCACCTGTGGTATAATATGTGCCGACGGCGTGGACGCTGGCTCTGCGCTAAGGAACATACGATAATCCGGATGTGACCCTTCGGCATAGTGTTCCAACTTCTTCTCCAGCATGGGCAGCCACTTGCGCACCAAGTGTATATTCTGCAGGACAACCCAATGTCCACTTTTGGCGGCCGTATCCATTGCTGTCTCCGCAATCGATTCCTGGCCCTGACCCAGAGACACATTGTGAAAGTTGCCCAGATCCATGGAGAAGCCCATTTGTTTGCCCAAAGCTTCGACATCTTTTAAGGGATTCACGCCCGGCGACAGTATAAAAAATATGGGCGTGGACGGACTAGCCTCCTCGTAGGACTTGGCAAATTCCATCGCGCGACTCTCCACATATTTCGGGCCGAGTTTCTCCTCAATAAAGTCGCTGTAAAAAATAGAGCTTTAATTGTATGTTTTCTACATTATTCGATTAGATACTCACGCTAAGGCATAGGTCATCCGATCGGGTCTTAGGGCTCTGATCATGCAGAGGCGTTGCAGCGCGGTTTTATTCTTCCATTCTTGCGGGAATTTCTCCTTCTCCGGCAGCTCCGATTCGACGAGCTTCTTCCAGCGTTTCGATGATGTCTCAATGTCCCGATCCAAGTTGCGAAACTCATCTTTGGACGCTAGACTGCAAATTCCGCCCCACGATTGATTACTCAAAAAATCCACAGGACTTGTCACATGTGGCTTGATCGGGAAGCGGAGTAGGAAGTCCAGTTCCGCGGATGAGACCTCCTCGTTCATCAGCAGTATCTATGAGAAAATAAATATAAATAAACGAATAAAGGGAATTGCTTGTATTCCAACTGGATTCAACATACATACCTGAAAAGTCATTTGCGAGGCAAAGATGAGCTTGTCGCATTCGAAAAGACCACGCGAAGTATACTGAAAGACCGAATACGTAATGCAATCGATCAGATTTGAGACACGCAAATCCAAAGTTTCGCTCGGTTCAGCCTTGGCTATGGCCTTTTGGAACACTACGCTAAAAGCCTGCGGGAGAAGAGAGTATTGATTCAGGAATTTATCTATTTGCTGAAACTTAAAAACTCACCTTCAGTGAAAACTGATAGATGGGATTAATTGTGTTCAATTCGTTGAGTATAAAGTATAAAAGACTAGCTCGGGCTGCCGCTGGTCTGTAGTATTCTCGAGCCTTATCAATTTCCTTGGATGTGATTTTCGCTTCAGCCACCTTCTCCTCAATATCCGAGGCAGTGCTTTTGGTTGTCTCCAGATTCTCGACCAATGCGGTATCACCTAAAATATTCTCACCCGCTGATGACAGACGCGAGAGCAGATCATCCTCCAGTTTCTTTAACATTATCTTAAAATCATTCTGTTGCTTGGTTAGCTCAGCTTTCAGATCCTCCAAATCCGGGCGCTCAGCCTTGACAACTTCCGCCAGCAGCTGATCCTCCAAGCCATCGCGTGTTACAGTGAAATTAATAAGTGTGGTCTGTGCTTGCATCTCCGGCTTATAGTGCGGATTAGCTAGTTTCGTGTGCAGGATCAAACGGAATGTGGAATTGTACTCGATCTCCTTGTCGCCAATTTTGATAGCTCTGCACGAAAATAAAATAGGTTTTTAGAGCACTGGGATATATAAAGCAGCAGCTGATCAACTCACTTGCCCTTCTTGATCAGATTGCGTCCGAGCAGAGAGTCCAAAACGGGATCTAGATTCTCATCAATATTTTCGATCAACACCGTGATGCCGGTATTAATGGATTTCTCGATAATATCCAAATAGTTGCGTTGACCCAGCCGTATGACCGTCAGCTCCTCGCCATATTTCTGCCTTATCCACTTGACGCCCTGCAGCTGAGGATCTATCATGAGCGGCCAGCGATCCGAGTTCGATAATATTGTAGCATTCTCAATGGACATGCGATCACTGGGCAGGCCCTCGTTTGTCCAGACGGCAATGGTCGTGTCATCGGTGAGCAGCGACAGCGGATCGAGATTTTCGGTAATGGGTATGGGCGGATCAATGCTCTTGAGGAAGGGTGTCCACATCTTCTGCATTAGATCAATGCGAAAACCTTTCGTAAAACAGCCGACATAGGAAATGAAGGCGGTTATGAGCAGTATATCGCCGGGCAATGTAATGCCCTGTTTGACGAAGCTGTTGGAGTTATAGTTATTCGATTACTCGGCTCTGATTGGGAGTAGCTAATTGGTATTTACTTATTGACAGCCTCCGCCCAGCGCACATTCTCACTGGCCAGACCGCCGACCAGGCGATTGGCCAGCGCAATGGTTGCCTGTGTGGCATCCGCTTCTTGTTGACAACGCAATTTGTCCGCAATGGCCTGCTCGAAGTCCGCCGTTAGGTTGGCCAGCTGCTCCTCCAGACTCTGTGTAAAATGGAAAGCTTATTATAGAAAAAGCCATCTACATTTTCTTTACAACATTGAAGCAACCTACCGCCACTTTGCGTTTTATGCCCGCCAGCTTGTCCTGTGCAGCTGCCAGCTCTGCATTGGCAGCAGCCAGAGCCTTTCGCTTCGGCTCCACATCGCAGTAGACCTCATAGAACTTTATAATGTTAATGACCCAGGCACAGAGACCCGCGGCAGCGCCAGATTTGGAGCGTACAAATTCAGGCTCAAATTCGGGATCCTTTAGATAGGGTTGAATGGCTTTAATAATTTCCGGATGTATATTCTCCTTGTCATAGTTAATCAGCGCGTCCAAAAAGGCATCCACTTTGGCCATGGAAATTTTGGCCGCCTTCCAGGAGCGATCCTTGGGCAGTTTGCCACCAGGGGCTAATAGCACCATGACCGCAGCTGTTACATTGGTAACCGCGCCCGGTGGAGAACCAAAGCTCTTCAGTTCCGTCAAGTTGGCCTTGTTCAGTGTGTTCAGCGCCTCTTGGGCGGCCGATAGGGCGGGCTCAGCTTTGAGCAAATCCTCCTCGCAATCGCGCTGCTTTTTGCTTACTTCGTCGGCTATCAAAGCAACCTTCATTTCCTCCTCATCGGCGACGGCTTTTTCCGTTTGCACTTTTTCCGTTTCAATGCCAACAATTTCGATCAAAGCATCGGCTGCATCGTTCTTCTCTTTTAGCTCCACCTCCTGCACGGCCAGTTTGACCTTCAGATCCGCCACCTGCACCGCCGTGGAGCGCAGCTTCTCCAGTCCATTCTCCAGACGCTCGATCTTGCTCTGTAAATCGTTGTGCTTGTGATTGAGTAGCTTCAGATAGAGATTAATCTGCTCGAGATAGCTCTTGGGTGTGGTATAGTTATATCGACGTTCGTTCTGTAAATAAACCTTGGACGTCGAATTGACCGACGTGTGTACATAGGCCATGAACTTGGCCACAGAGTCGCGATGATTATCTGGCAGCACTTTGTTTTGTGCCAGAAAATTCATGGCAACCGATATGAGTGCCTCCTGAGGCCATTCGTGGAACCAATTGATGGATGTTGCATTGATGATGGCCGGGAATTTTCTCGACCGAACACGCAATGTTGAGCCCACTGGTGAAAAACACAGAACTATCTTCAATTGTTTGCGCACACGATCGATGAAGAATTTCCAGCAGTTTTCACGTGTATCAACCAGTCCCGCACCTTTGACCTCATTACGCACACCAGCGATTATATTCTCGATTTCGTCATCCGGAAATAGATCTGGAATCTCGCCAGTGGCTAACAAATCGTTGATTAAGACAAGAAAATCCTCGCTAGGTATCTGGGCATCCGTCATTAAGAACATGATGCTAACGTTTTTCAAGCCAGCCTTCAAATACAAACCGGAAAACTCGCTCTGCGTGCATTTTAAAAAGATGTTAGACTAATGGCTTATTTCACTGACTCCAGCATGCCAACTGACCTTTAAATCGTTGACCCCATAGCCCTTCTTCAGCTGTATCTGCACGACCTCCAAGCTGGATATGAATGCTGCCAATCGCGCTAGAGATTGTTTGCCACTGCCACCAACACCAACCAATAGAGCGCTGCCACGCGGCGATTCTAATATGCGATTAATTCTGAAAGAAGCAAGCAACAATTAATTAAAGCAACAACGCAGAGAAGAGGGGGATTGGGTTACCTGCACACATGCATCATCGCATCTTCGAATAACACCAGATTCATGGCAGCGACCAGATCATTATACGATGACATTGCTTCCTGAAGGAGTTTGTGAAGCTCAGGCCAACCCTTGATGGGCATGTACTTAGGATCACCAATTCCTCCAGCGAAATGACAGTAAATATTCGGCTTGTCGAATATCACGGATTCGTCAATTTCTTCGAACGACTTCTTGACAATGTCATGCTGCATTTTGGTAAAGCTATCAATATCCTTATCATCGATCAGCTTATCCGAGTACACACGCTGTGTCTCATGTTGCCACAAGCGTATAAGATCTGTGGAGCTCGTTAAACAGTCCGTCGAGCTAAATAGGAGACCCTGCAAGAACAAAAATTAAAAATAAGTCAAATAAATATAAGTAAAAACGAGAAAGAAGGGCTATCTTCGGCACGCCGAAGATTTAATACCCTTGCAGGCCCAACCTTTTCATAATGCCCGTTGTGCTTTGCCAGTATCTTGGAAACACAGGGAAAATAGTTAATGCCAAGTTTGGTCAAGATATCTTAAAAATCAAAAAAATTAACCACACAACAACTTAAGTTTCGACCTATCGTTCCTATGACAGCTATATGATATAGTGGTCCGATCCAGAAAGAGGCACTTCTGCAAAGTTTCCTAAAGATAGCTTTAAAACTGAGAGACTAGTTCGCATAGAAACAGACAGACGGACAAACGGATATGGTTATATCAACTCGGCAGCTGATACTGATCAAAAATATATATGCTTTATGGGGCCGGAGATGTCTCCTTCTATGCGTTACACATTACACGACAAAATTATATAATATATATGACCGAAGAGCGCCAAGTTGAAATATAGTCGAATGTGAGCCCCAGTTTATCCAATACTCACTTGAAAAACATTGCTGATATCTCTCAGATTGAAGATATAGTGAGATTTGATGGCCGTAGGTAGAAACACCTGCAGACACTTGTTGTGCAGCGCAATTGTTGCCGCCACAATGTTGGGCGTCATCCGTGTAACGATGGGCATAAACTTTTGCTCGGCATTGGCAAAATGTTGCGATAATATCGCCGAGTACATGTGCGTGATGGAGTCGGCGCCGGGAAAGCTGACGGCCAGCACGCAGAAGTGTCGCTGCAGACGCGGATTGATGGTGAAGCTGCCCGAGGTGGGATTCATGCAGGCGACATACTGGCAATTGTGTATATCCTTGAGGGTCAGCTTATTGCGATCGTACCAATGCCCGTAATCCAGATGCTGTCGCATTAGCGTGTGCGGCTGAACCGTTCCATAGCAGTCCACCTCGGGCATATTGATGTCGTCAACAAAGTAGATCAAGGTCTTGTTGCCAGGCGGTCCGTAGTTGCGACCCGCTTTCTTCTCCAGCGGTTTCTCGAGTATCTTTTGCAACATTTCGGACGTGGTATAGAAATTGAATGGTATTGTGGTGACAGCGTAATTCTCAGATAGCGATTGAAGCTTCTCATTGACCAGTACGGTCTTGCCGCAACCGGCATTGCCCACCAGCATCACCGGGTGCTTCTTATCCATCAGTAGATCCAGAAAATAACGCAATCGTATTGACTCGGAGGTGTGCACGAGCACAGCTTGCAATGGCAAATCTGAATCCAGCTCAAACTTCGTTATCTTCTCGGTCCAGGGCATAAAAGTTTTCGTCTCGCTATCCAAAAAGTAATCGAAAACTGTTCCACCTTTGATTTAGAATGCGATTTGTTAGGGGTTTTATTCTGAATCGAGATGAATCGAGGAATTTTGGTACTCACCCGCTGGAAACTTAACAGTTTTGAACTCATTTACCCACCATTTGCTGAACTCCACGCGATAGTCAATGGCTTGATCCTGGAACATGGCCGAACCGAATGCCCAAATGCAGGCAAAAACAAAATACAGCTCGTGCCACTCTTTTGGACAATCGGCCGGCGTATTCGCTGGGATTAGAAAACAGTTTAGTAGATGGCACAGCATTTGTATGTGAGCCATTTCAGCGACAGGCGTGATCTTTTTAAATCGCACGCGTATCGTCTCCAATGAGGGCGGTATGTACTTATCGAATAACATGACCAAATTGGACTTTTCGGCTGGAATTTTGCGCGTTTCAACCCAACTGGTCACATAGCTGCAAGAGAGTTATATCAAACAATGTGAAATTCTCGAATATAGTAGCTGGGATTAGTACTCAATCAGTCGGTAATTAATTAATTAACTATTTAGTCATTTAGTCGCGCAGTCAGTGGATCAGTCATTCAGTCAGTCAGTCAGTCAGTCAGTCAGTCAGTTAGTCAAACAGCCGTTCAATCAAGCGGTCAGTCAGTCAATCAGTTAATCGCCCAATTAAACAGTTAGTCAAACAGCTGTTCAATCAATCAGTCTGACTGACTGATCACTGAGTCATTCACTCATCAATCATTCAATCTGCTTGAACAAAGAGTCGGTATTTAATTTATTAATTATTTAGTAAGTCATTTAGTCGGACAGTCAGTCGATCAGTCAGTCACTCAGTCAGTCAATCAGTCATTCAGTCAGTCAGTCAATCAGTTAATCGTTCAATTAAACAGTTTGTTGAATCACTTAGTCATTCAGTCAATCAATCATTTAATCTGCTTGCACGAAGAGTCGAGTTAGTCATTTAGTCGGACAGTCAGTCGATCAGTCATTCAGTCAGTCAATCAGTTAATCGTTCAATTAAACAGTTTGTTGAATCACTTAGTCATTCAGTCAATCAATCATTCAATCTGCTTGCACGAAGAGTCGGTTATTAATTAATCAATTCATTAGTAAGTTATTTAGTCGGACAACCAGTCGAGCAGTCATTCAGTCAGCCCCTCAATCAGCTAATCACTCAGTTAAACAGATAGTTCAATCAATCTGGCAGTCAGTCAATCACTTAGTCATTCACTTATCAACCAATCAATCATTCAATCAGCTAGCATGAAAAGTCCTCCAACCGTATTCCAAGCTTGTGGCTGTCATTAATCATGAAAAATGAACTATCAGACAGTCGGTCAATCAACACAAGCTGATTTATACTATAAATTTTGATAGAAATTTCGGTACTTACGGATTCCAACCCAAGTCCTGTGGATTTATATACAAGATGCCAGCTCTGGATACGGTCGCCGGTGTCGCTGTTCTCAGATTGGAGATCTCAAAGAGCAAACGCATCGAAGGTGTCAACGCAATGCGCTCATTGCTGGCCAAAGTCAGGACTTTGTTATCATCCATAACGGTATTTAAGCTCTCGATCCACATGGGATCGATATCACCATCGAGCACAATCCATTTGGGTTGATCAGCCGTTATGTTTGCCTGATCCCGCATTAGAACTGAGAACAGACCATCCTTCCATTCGCGTGTCGCCGGGTTGATGATGCCGAAAAGTTCATCATTGGTCACCGCTTTCGGATTCAAGTCATTGAATATGGGCTTCCGTTTAATGTTCTGATAGGTGCGCAGCAGCGTCTTCCACACTTGGGTTTTCCCAGTGCCCGCATTGCCAACAATGAATACAGAATGACGTACCTCCAACAGTTCCTCCAGTTGTACTACTTTTAATATAAAATTATCTTCCGGTTGTAGTAGCAAATCGGAGGCAGCTTGTTTTACGGTGCGTTCAAAGTCCTGATCACGTTTGCGTGGCACATCCAAAGCGGGAAACAGATCGCTGATGAGCCCCATGAACACGGGCATATCGTCTGTTACGATTTTCGGTATATTAAAATCGCGCAGGGCGCGCATCAGCACCTCCTCCTCCGGCCGGCCGGGATCGCCGCGCTGCAAGCAGAAGTTTCCGTTTAGTTTAGTTTGTATACAAACGTGTTCGGATGCAGTGCACCCACCTTAAGCGAACCGGCCACCACCAGCACCGATTTGATGGCACGCAAGCCCCAATCGTAGTGATCCTGCTTGGAGAGCAGCTCCTTGCAGAGCGTGTAGAGCGTGATGAATTTACGCGCCAGGACGCGCGCATCCTGAAATCCCTCGGCGACCAGCATAATCTCGCAGATGAGCTCGAAATCCGGTACGACCATGGCGCAGGGTCGAAACAGTGCTTTCAGATTCTCCGGCAGCTCTGTGCGTCCGGCATAGCCGGGATTCATGGTTATAAATATGCCCACCGTGGGCACACAGCTAATAATCTCGCCCATAAAATTGAACTTATCCTTTTTGTCACGTATCGCATCCTGTACGGACTTCACCTGGACTGCGACAACGGAGAGCACCTCCACCGTAATCCTATTGAACTCATCAAAACAACCCCAGGCGCCAGTTTGGGCAAGACCCTTGTAAATATTGCCACAGGATTGATAGTCCATCTGCTCGGAGCAGTTAAATACATAGACCATGATGCCAATGGCGCGTCCAAGATCTTTGGTTGTCTCCGTTTTACCTGTACCGGCCGGGCCGGCTGGGCCGCCGCCCATTACCAAGTGCAAGCTCTGTGTGAGTGTTATGTAGCAGCGATCTGTGAGCGGCGTGATGACCAGGCGTGGTGTATTGCCTAAGTATTCGTGACAATACTGGAACTCAGCATCGCAAATATTGGCAAAGCAATCCTTTTCGACATCATCGAAACGATGCCGCAACTGCGATTGCCACATAAAAGCCGAGCCTGAATCCAATTTGGCCTGAATCATCTTAGCGACCACATCTCTTGAATGCACATCAATGGTGCATATCGTCATGATTTTCTGACGATCCCCCTTGGTCAGCTCGCCGAGCAGCAGTGTTATGAGTAAACTGAGTTGTGAGATTTGTTTTTTATAATAATCCTTGATGGCATTATCATAGCCCTCCTCCAGGCGGCTAAACGCGATGTTCACCTCGGTGGACCACCAGATCTGTGAGCCGCATAGCGATACCTGGGCAGGATAATCGAATAACCATTGTTCACGCTGCTTTTCCTCATAAGCGACAACAGCTTCCGTTATATAATGTCGGAGCGAGGCACGCATTGCCGCTTGTATACGATTCAGCCACACCTCAACCGGGCCACGAATGCTGGCCAACTCATTGAACTCCACATATTCACCATCCTTGGCATACATGCCAGAAGCTGTCTCTATTTCATTGGCCGCATCGCGATTGAACTTGAGCCGTGCAATCGAATCGAATAGTTTGGTCAGATGTTTGGTGACCATATCGGGCTGAATGCCATTGCTAAGGACATCGAGTAGATCGGCCGATGATACAAAATAGAAACGAGGAAAAGCCAAACGTTTTGTTTCCAAATACTCTGCCAGCGCCTTTTCGCATAGCGTTAGCTCCTTTTGCAAATGCTCGAGACGTTCGATCAGGCCAGCTCGATTCGTTGATGCCACCACATTTGATGAGAGCGACATCTCATCCATCAGTATACGAAATTCGGCATCGATATTATCGAAACGTACCGAATCGACCGGCAGCTGTTTGCGTATATCTTCCGAACTCATGAAGATACTCTCAAGATGGGTCCAAGTGCGTTGCACCTCAAACCAAACGGTTATCACTTGATCGGCAATCATTAATTTATTTTGCCAAGTTGAAACTTCATCCAGGAAATGGGCGATGTACTTGGATGTTATTAAATTTTGTAGGCACACCTGATTCTCCTCGAGCGTCTCTATGAGTTCTTCCGATGCCTTAAGGAGTTTACAGCCAGTGCGCGGATGCAGCTCATTATCGAATTCCATGGCCGACCATGTCGAATTCAGATCTCTCAATATCTTCTCCATCGACATTTCCTTAACAGCTTTATCCACAATATTCTTCACCTCCTCCTCGCATTCGTGCAGATTTAAGCCCAACAGCTCGGCAAGTGTTGTCTCATGATCCATTATGAATTTCACCTGTGCGAATATATTTATATGTATATTAATACCAATTTCTATATACCAAATTGAGATGGTTGTGGTTAACTACGTTCGCTACTTGAATTTCTGTACAACATGCAAAACACTTACGGTCACTTCCTTGGGCAAGGCGGCCAGACTCTGGAATGAAATGGTATTTACAAGAAACTGTACAGTCGAGGCACAACTATATATACATATATGTTATATACACGGGCCTCTTTCAACTCAAGTTGGGCTTAAAAAAAGAAAATTTCATTTTTTATAAACGGTTGTTTTTGTTTTTTTTTTTTTGCTATACAAAACGAGCTACTTGCAGCTCTGGTGCTGGGATTAAGAAAGAATTTGCAAAAAAATTATTTACAATATGCCAAATTGTAAGAGAACTTTGAATAAGAAAAAAAGAGATATAAACACAAAAATAGACCTTGGTCGAGTTCATCAGCTGATTCCAGTGACGCTCGCGTATCGCTGGATTTTGTAGTTCTCCAACGGCACGGAGCGAGGTTAACATATTCTTCACCGTCGACTCGAGATTTATAAATGTATCCCAGACGCGCATTTCCTTGTCCAATAATCGAATATCCTTTGCAAATTTTTTGCACTCAATATCCATATTCTCCACATCGACTTTACGCCAGGGCGTTGTCTTCCAATCCTCAATGCTCGTTTGCACAATATTCACATAATCCCAGAGTTGCTGTGATTAATGAACATAATTATTAGTCTTGTATTTAGTATGGGAAAGTTAAGTGATATTGTATATAGTCATGGTTGATAGCTAGTAAAAAACTCCACATGTAGCATGCAGTACATAGGATAAGAATTTGGTAAATTGATTATAGAAAACATGCAAAAACCGATTAACATATATTTGTCAGTAGATACCTTGAGCATGCGCAGCTCCTTGCGGCATTGTTTGAGCACCTTAAATTCCGGTATATTCACTTCGAAGAGACTGCCCGATTTTTGTATCTCGCCCATTTCCCGCTCGCAGAGAAACATGTCATCATTGATGCGATCCATTAGCAAATATGGCTTGTAACAGTCGAAGCGAAAGAAATCGTATTGCTTGAACACCTCCCGGAATAGCTGGATGTGCGCCTCGAAGAGCGTTATCTTATTCCTGATGCTGACCACCTCGGTGGCTTGCAGTGGAGACACCTGCTGTTTGACAGTTGTGGCTATCTTCTTGGTGTTGGCCCACTGTTCGGGCAGCTCCTGCAGCAGAACATTCACCTCCTCGGGTATATCCATGTCGTAGTATTTCAGCAGCTGTATGGTCTCCTGCAGCGGCTCAAACATTTCATCCGTATTGGCGGCACGCTCCTTGACCTGCATCAGATAGGCCATAATGCTAACCAGACCCTCATAATCCTTCTCCTTCACCGTTTGGAGCAGACCCTCATCGGCCTTGCGTATGAACTGACTGAGATCCATGAGACTGGACGTGACCGTGGTCACCAGATGCATCTTGAACATGTTTCCCCACTTGCAGACAGTGTTTAGCAGCGCCTGTCGAAAGGGTCGCACGTCCACTTGAAACCAGGAGCTGAATACCTGAAATGCAGGTATGTCCTCGATCTCGCTAAAAAGCGATTCGTAGTTGTCTATTTGCTCCCGAAAGGCCTCAATCGTTGGCTGACATGGTTTCGGTGGCGGCGGCGCAGCCGGATCATTCATTTGCAATAGTTCGATTTCATCTGGATCCAAAATGCGTCCATATTCCAAAAAGTACTCCATGCACTCCTCACGATCATCCAGCCAGAGATACGAATAGCGCTCGAATTGTCGGCAAAAACGCGACGCCTCTTCCATGACCAAATCAACGCCATTGAGTATCTCGCGACGCATATCGATAATGTCCTGATTCTCCTTGATCAGCTCCACATAGTTGCGTTTCTCGTTCGGCTTTAGACGCTTTATAAGTGAGCCCATTTTCATGATATCACGCATGAGTTCGATGAGCATATTATTGAAGCCCATTGGATCTTCGGGTTCGAGCGAGGGCACAAATACTAAATTCGGTTCAACCAGCTCCAGACGTGACTCAAAAAGTGGCGCATAGTTATTGTCAGGATCCATATTCTCCGCCAGATAGCCCACACTAACGCCCACTGTGCGAAGAATATTCTCGTACACAATGTTATCCACAAAGTCCACATAGCTCAGCCAGACGGCATCGCTCTGCTTTTCCGACATATCAAACTGCAGCATATTATCCTGGAGTAGTTTATGTATCTCCACAGACGCTGCCTGGATCTCAGCATAACGCTTGGCCGTGCGATCCGGTCGCTCATCTATGGACAGTACCGAATCCTTTTTGCAATCGCGACGTTCGAAAAGCGGCTGCTTGGCCCAAACCTCCATAATTTTGCGAATCTGTCGCAGATTCTCCTGGGTGTGGTTCATGCGATTGCGCAGGGCAGCGACAGGCTGACGCAGCTTCTCCAGATAGCTCATGATGTCTTAAAAAGAAATTAAGATTCGATAAATAATTCAGATAAAACGCTCGACTGCTCTCACCTGCTGAATTCCAGACAAGATGCTCAACACCAATTTCAACCAGATCATCAATCATTTTTATCTCGGGCTCAATCAGTTTGAGTTCCACCGATGAGCTGCCTTCCTGTATGCTGTTGTACCAATCGATTGTCTTCTCCAGATTCAATGTATACGAACGAAAAATATCGCTCTTCTCCGCAAACTCAATGGCTATCTCGGGTATGCCATCAATTTTCATTTGTTGCATATAGTGCACCTCGCGCAGAATGGAGAAGAGTGTCGAACTAAAGTTGAGGATCAGCGAATTACTCTGCTGATCGCGTGCTATAAGCGACCTCCTAAGATCCTCCTCAATTTGTGCCGCCAGCTGCACGGACCAGTCATCAAAGAATCGGGTCTTGCAGGCACCCAACTTGGCCATCAAACACTCATAGCGTTCCACAATTTCCAACGATTTTTCGCTATTGGTTATGCTGTGGAAATTGGGAGAGTTCATCAATATTATATGCACATACTAGCAGGAATAACCCGGTGTTGCCCGTGGCACGTTTAAAATGAATGTTCTCAAAAAGCTTTGAAAATGAAATTGACACTGATCGGAAGATTAACAAACAACTTTCATACAAACGTTTTCCGCCAATTTACCACAATTGCGGGTGGAATTTCCCAGATCGCTGAAACACGTATTCATTAAGTTCTTAAGTAGGAATTTGAAAATAAGTTTGAAGCAAATCGGACACAACTTAAAGCTTCGCCAAAAAATCTTCGAATACCATTTCTAACGAGGATTCTGCGAAAAGTGTGAAACACGTCTTATATGATTTTTATACCCTGAACCCATTATAAATGGGTAAAAAGGGTATAATGATTTTGTGCAAGTGTATGTAACAGGCAGAAGGAAGCATCTCAGACCCCATGAAGTATATATATTCTTGATCAGCATCAACAGCCGAGTCGATCTAGCCATGTCCGTCTGTCTGTCCGTCCGTCTGTCCGTATGTATGAACTCAAGGATCTGATCGAATATGTATATATCAAGTATTATATTTTATACCTATCGCCTGTTGAAAGAAGAGGGTTCAGGCTATCCCCTAGTCGGAAGCCTCCGACTAGAACCTCTTCCTTGTTTAAGTAGATCTTTGGAAATGAATTTGAAGACGAAAAGTCCCCGACCAAATCTTTGACACCCATTGCCACCAAGGAGGGATGTATTTTCCAAAAAGTGCGAAACACCCCTCAAATAAATTTAAACAAAGATCTTTGAAAATGAGTTTAAGGCCGATCGAATGGTAAACAAAAAAGTTAGATACAAACGTTTTTCACGATATTTCGACACTTGCGGGCGGAATTTTCCAAAACCCCGTCTTAACGTGCACCTACATCACATGAGGTGATTACTGTGAAAATTTCAGCAATCAATCGGTCAGTCAGTCAGTCATTCAGTCAGGACAAACAGTTTTATATATATAGAGACATGTTTCCCTCTGGAAATGTAAATTTGGCTTACTCATGCTGCAGCGCCTTGAAGTTTTTCACGGGCGCTGTTATACGCGTCTCCAGCTGATAGCACCAGCGTATAAAGGCTGCCACGGAGGGACAATTGTAGTCGGGATAGAGGGTATCGCCAACGCGAATTAACTCCATTTGCTTGTCATAAATATTCTCACAGACTGTCATTTCTTCGTCGAGCATGCGCACAATTTCCGCATAGCGTTGGGTAAATTCCTCCTTGATTTTGGGACGATCCAAGACGCTGCCCACTATGCTGATTAGCTGCGATATAAAAGAGCTTTAGTATTTTTGCATTTAACCATACAGCAATTATACTAACCTTGAAAATGCTCTCTAAATTATGGCAATCATCGAATGCCTGACACAATATGGCAGCCAGCTTCATGTCCAGTTCCAGAATGCGCGTTTGAAAGCCCTTAAAATCCTCATCGAACTCATGATCATCCGGATCGAGTACATCATAACTTTTCGAAGCAAATGCCGTAAAATATTGATTGAACTCCACGTAGACATCGGTTATCCTAGTGCTCAGCTGGCGTCCACGCAGTCCACCGATTTCGACTTTCTCTAATTTCAGGAATTCAATCACAGTGAAAAAGAACCTATAAAAAAACATATTTATAGTGCAACTATATAGAATATTTATGTTTTAATAGTAAACTAAATACCACTGAATTGTTGTTAAACGCTCGAGGAAAGCATTAAAGCGTTTGAACACTGAATTTGGATGAAAAGTCCACAAAATCGGTGGCCGTTCTTCGGGTTCCGTAAAGAAGACCGCCAAACGTTCCTTATAGAAGTCAAAAAGTTCCCGAAAGAACTTTAGGATTTGTATGGAGAGTGTCAGGCGCTGCATGGCCTCATCTATATCGCTATGAAATATAGACGAGGGATCCAAATAACGTTTAGCCTGAAATTGAAAAGGGAAAATTATAATCAATATAAACTGTTTGCAATGACTGACTGATGGACTGCTTGACTGACTGACTGACTATTTCGAAGACTGCCTGATTGATTGATTGACTGACTAATTGGCTAGCTGACGAAATAACTGGCTGACTATCTGATTGACCGACTGACTGGTTGATTGATTGACTTATTGATTATATGCATATGTACCTGATGTATAATCAAATTGCATATCTCCTGCAATAGCACCGTTATTTTCGCCGACTGACAATAGTAGCGCGAATTGCCCCATAGCGTGCACACCGTATGCATAAAGGGTATGAGCAGGGGCTTGTACTCCGCGAAATCGATTTCCTCCATTTGGTGCAGCGGGCGCTTCAATGGGTTCAAATAGAGCGTTATATCCTTTGCCTCGGCAAGTGCTGCGATTGTTCAATCAAGTTCAAAACAGTTTTGGCGGCATGCAAAAGGCAAAAAACAGACAAAATATATGTAGCTCAACAATGCTCAACAGCTGGCATGCTTGTGTGCCATTAAATTGGCTGCACTCGTACCCGTAACCACGTTTTTGAACAGTGTCTGAAAGCACGGATGATAGGCACTCAACGAGTACTCCAGTATTAGGGCCATGGCTCGTATACGCTCGTTGCGCAATTGGTCATAGATAAAGGATAGATTCTTGAGCCGATTATTCCAAAATGTAAATTCTGTTAAGAAAACGAATGGACGAATACAATAAGTGAATAATGCATCTTATTGGCCAGATATTTAACTAAAATTTAATTAATTTAAATGTGTAAAATTAAAGAAAATCTTACATGGCAAAATATAAATTAGGAGCATGGTTAAAAATACTACAAAATGTTCGTTAAATATATATTTATATTCCGTAAATTTTTTTGATTTTTTTTCAATTTGTTTTTAAATTAAAGTTGCTGTTGAATTCATAAAAATCGCATTAAATTTAGGCTACACACGATTTTGAGCTTTATTTAACATAAAGTGAAGGCTCATAACGAAATCTCCCCCCAAAAAAAAAAAAAGCTCCCATTAGTAATTGTTATTATGACAAGCGGAAATGTTGCATGTCGCCATTCGCAAAGCAGATAATAAAAGCAAGTTTTAAAGACATTTTTACCTATATGTCAGGCGGGCTATAAACATGCAAATTTTGGCCGATGCCGGCACGTTGCTAGGATATATATCAAAACAACCGTCAACTGCAAGACTTGAATTTTGTCAATAAATAATAAATAAAGCCAGGCCAAAAATAATTCAGAGCAAAATATATGCACATATGACTAGACCCCATACTGAACGACTCACCCGTGTGCGGTGTGGGATTTTGTCCATTGGCAAAGGCATTCGTTGGACTCTCCTTGATGACCTCGTGTATCTGTGTGGCCCACTTAATGACCACGCCCTCGATGGCACTCTTCAGATACAGGTCGAACTGGCATTGTTGTGTTTCGGTCAGTTCTTTGGCGGCCTTAACTATTTTCTCAACGCCCACGGGCATGGCCAAGATGGTTTCACCGCTAACCTGACCCTTGACCTGATGCACCGTGCTCTTCAAACTGTGAACATGCTTCTGCACATCCTGAGCGACCATAATGGGCCAGCTCCTATAGTTGTCCTCATTGGAGAGCAGTGGCACAAGCACCTCCTCGACCAGTGCGGACAGCTGGTCAATTGTACGCGTGGCCAGGTCGCCAAAGATGATAAAGTTACCACAATTCTCACGTGGAATCGGCTTGGCATAGCGCTTGATAAAGTAGACACCTTTGCTCTTTAGCTGCGACAGGGGAAAGGTAGTGGAGGGCACCAGCTGCGCAGCGGGCGTGAGTATGATAATCAGTACGACAGGTATGCTGCGATCCAAAAACTCTTTTATTATGCCTTTGTGCTCCTCCACCGTGATGACACGAGTCCATTTCTCTGGCTTCAGCTTAAGCGATTTGATGACAAACGAACCCATCAGTTCCAGACGTGGATCCGGCCCACCGGCTGCAGCGGCTGCCTCGGCGCTGGTGGAGGCCTGCTCCATCGAAGGGGCCCGGGTGTTTGTTTGCTGTTGTTAACACAGATATTTTTGTTGCTGTTGCTGTTGCTGTGTGTGTGTGTGTGGGGTACATGTGTATTAGTATCTGACTGACCTTGTTACCACTAACAACTATATAATCAATTTATATTTTATTTGTTAGCAAATCAATATTTCCGCCTAAAATTGTATAACATTTTCATATATTTTGGCAAAAGACTTTCCAAAACTATGAAATTTATAGGTTATGCAATCTAATTTTTCATTTTATAACACTTTAGTGCTATTGCATAAGTTATGTAACTTAAAACAAAACTAAAAATTTCTATATCTCTGCAGTTTTGCAGAATCGTTGTATTAAACAAATTAACTTATTTGCAAGCACTTTTCAATTGTCTAGCCATTATTGCTGGCTTTCATAATTAATTCTTGATTTTACAGTTTTTTTTTTTTAATATACTGCCTTAATTTGTTTCCGCTTTGCGACTGCTCACCTGCGCTACCGTTAGCTGACTGAAAGGAAGTGTTTGGCAATAATTGAACCCTGTTACGTTAAACTGATCGTGGCAGCACCCGGTTGCTAGGCAGTTGTTGATTTTGCCTCTTGACCTTTGTTGATTTCCCCTCTGCCATAATCCTTGGTTGCTAGCCACGTTGCCAGGCTTCAGGCCAATTGTTGCGCCGCCATTTTATGTTTTCCTCGCACGCCAAAGTTTTTACGGCTTGGCACGTTGCCTAATAAAGTTGGCACATGGCAAGAAACCTGGCAATTGATTAGGCGCTAATTCAATTAGTTGCGACTTTATTGCGAACAAAGTTACTAAACTAAAAATAGATGATTTTTGGTAGAAGTGTAACAATATTATCAACTTACTTTAATTCAAAGTGGGGTGGGGCATCCTTTCGTCCGCATCCATATTATCGTCGAGTTGGATGCCGCCTGATAATCGCCCAAAATTTGAAAATTGATGTATAAGGCATTTTTTAAAACACAAGCAAGCCATTTTACAATTTTTTTTTTCAAAGGCGCACAGTAAAAATGACTTAGCAAGTTTACCGTTTCAACGGCAGCGTGAGTAATCGAACCGCGATATATCGATTCTAAGATCGATGCTCAATTCTCATTGGCTAGTAATTGGAAGAACTCGCTTATCGTGACACGAAAGTATCGAAGCAGTAATTTTAATAGCTCACACAGACAAACATAGATTACAGTATGTACACAACTTTAAATGAAACTGAAAAATCATTCAGTTATTTATTTATGCTTGTAACATATTTATCACTGCAAATATTACTAAATCAATTTAAGTCTAATTAGAACAGCGTGCTAACTCTAATTGGATAAGCTGTTAAATGTGTTTCATGCCACATTGTCAGCGAGCTGTCACAGGACTTAGCCACAAAACGCTTAGAATATTGATGCAAAATAAATTGGAAAATGTGTGGCAGTCACGCCAAAAACTGTTGCATATGCGCAACAATTGTGGAGCTCGAAATCTAGCCCCACACACCCACTGACTTTCCCCTGCAGTTACCGTTTTTATGGTAAATATGAGGCGCAGGCGCCAGCCATAAACAAAACAAATAACTGTTGCGCCCAGCGCAACATTGCTGCCAAGCTAACAGCAACATTGTTGCCAAGCCAACAGCAACCTTGTTGCCAAGCAAACAAGCAACAGTTTCTTGCATGACTTCCGCTTGGAAAACTTTTGCTATTTCTATTTCTATAATTTTTACGACTATCGATTGACCTAGGCCTAGGCGCAGCGGGTCGTTCAACTTGCTGGGAAAACCAGTTGCAGTTGGACATAATAAATATTAAAGGCAAATTAATGTCGATAACCGCAAGCAGCGCCAAGTGCTCAGTGAAGCTGAAAAGTTAAGCTATTTCGGACTGCATTTATAAATCTGGCAGTGCACAGCTCTGTTAAGACTTCTGGAAAATGTGGCAGTTGGCATTGGGACTGCTGTTGCAGCGGCTGAGTGTCGCATCCGCCATTGTTGTGGAGCGCAACATGTTTGCCTACTACAAACTGCCGTTGCGGCTGCTCCACACAAACGAGTCCACTTCCGGTCTGTACTATGTGCTGCAGTGTCCGCCAAAGCTGGACCAGGTCATACCCAAGCTCAGAGACATGCAAACCTGCAGTGTGGTGGATCAGTACAGGGACAAGACCAGACCCAAATCCAAGAAGTTGCAAACCGCTCGCACCATGCTTCGGCCTCTGCCCCCAACAACCGTTAAGCGCACGCGCTGGGGCTGGCGCCAGCGACGCAGTAAGCGACATAACCAGGACATGGCGCTGCAGGATGAAGCAACACCGCTGCAGCATCTCGGCCAGCCGCACCGACGGCAAACCCAGCTCAAGCTGGCCGCCGATTATCGGAATTTCAGGCGCGGCAACAGCTCCAAAGGCTACCAGCACATGTACCACCGCGATGAGAGCTACAACGATCACATCTTCTACGATGAGCTTCAATTGGATGGCAAGTTCCACAAGCAGGGCAAACGGAAGACTGCGAACTGAAAGAATCGACTTATGCGCACTCTGAATACCCTTGAAAATAAATTAAAAGTTAATCAAATGGATTTGTATACAAATCTTACTCAAATTTTATCATTGGAAAACAATTTAATATCACAGAAGATTTTATTATAATTTCCGAAATATATTTAATTACGAAATCTCTGTTGAAAATGTTGTTAATATATATTAAACTATCCAAGCTAAACTGAAAATGTATTATATAAGAATATTTGAAAAATAAATACAATAACAAATAATAATATCTTTACAGTGAATAGTCGTACATGAAGCTTTTCAATCAAATTTGCACTAACGGACAGACAGAAAAATGATCCATTTATAATATCAATATGCTCTTTTTAACTTTACGAACAGTGTATAAAAAGGCTTTCTCTGTTGACATAGTAGCAAGCGCTCTGCCGAGTTTCTATTTCTGTTATATTCCATAAACCGGATGGAAAAACCTTCACAACAAAATGTTAATACTAAATTAGTAGTGTATATATATAAATTGTATGCAATTATTTATTCATTCGTGTTCACCGTCGGCGTCTGGCAAAAACATGTCGTCATAGGCCACATTTTCAAAGAACTTATTCAGCATGCCCGTAAAGCATTGGGCAAAGGATTTCATTAGTCCGGGTTCGAGGCCGTTCCAGAACTCTAGCCAATTTTCGTTGAAGGCTCGATTGACTGCAATTGTAAGATCCGTATTTTCCTTATATAAGTTATCAAACCAAACTATCCAGCTGAAAATAAAATTCGATGTAATTTCAAATCGTATATGGCTTGGCTTGACTCTCACCGATCCAGTTCAACTTTTGGCTTTAGTTCATAGATGTTCAAATAGCGTTTGTTGTTCCGATATTCCAGTATACCCTTTATAGTCAGTTTCAATTGAAAATTCTGAAAATCGGATTTCAATTGGCCCGTCGTATTCGCCACAAACAACAGATAGCGACCCAGCATATCATATGTTGCCTCGTGGATGAGACTGGGTATTTGCGCCTCAATGGTCATTATGTTTTTGGTCGGATCTCTGTTGAAGCCATCCACATGGGTAATGGTCGCATTATTGAAGCCCCTATTGACATTGTTGCGCGTATGAAAGGTGAACCAAACGGCACCATCATTGGGCTTGTCCAGAATCGCGACATCCTCCAGCCGGGTGGCATCCAGCGGCGGCAGCCCAATCTCCGGTATGCCCTTGGGATAACGCTTGATCAAGTCATTGATGCTGCCTACAAGACACCTTGAGTCCCCAAAATGGCATTTCTTGATGTCCTCAGCTGCAAAAGATATATGTATGTCTATGTATACTGTTTGAATCCTAACTGGAATACTCACGCAGCTGGACACCCAAAGCCGTCTCGTATAGCGTATGCAATACGATAATTAACATATAATACTTATACATCTTGTGTACTGAGATTTTATTGTGATTATTTTTCTAAACCAGTTGCAATTAATTGAAGTCACGACACGATGTTACTTAGAACCTGCTTTAGCCAAAGCTAAACTGTAAATAACATCAATAGATTAGCTTTGTTTTAGTTTATATGTACTTAGCATCGGTAGCAAGTGCCTATGAACTATATATTTAAAACCGGATTGCTAGCTGTACATACGGATATCAATACTGGAAATGTACTCTTCCTGTGTTATTAATTCGCCTCAATAGTTAGAGAAAATAGACAAACGGATTTATGGCTTAATAATTTATTTCAGTCTCATTGTCCTTGAGGAACATATCATCGTAGGAAATTTGATGGAAAATATCTTCAATCATGCCCGTAAATACACTGCTAAAAACGCTCAGAAACGCTGGTTCCAGTTCATTCCAGAACTCCAACCAGTTCGCATTGAGCACTTCGTTTAACGTTATGGTTAGATCCATGTTGTCGGGAAACAAAGTATCCAGCCAGACAATCCAGCTGCCGATTTATATAATTATAATATACTGTTTGTATTCACATACATATACACATATCGAAAACTCACCGACTTATATTAACAATCGGAACTAGTTCGTAGATTTTCAGGTAGCGCTTGTTATTCCGATATTCCGGTATGACTTTCAGTTTTAATGTAAACCGCAAGTTCTGAAAATCGGATGTGGACTCGCCCGTAGCATTCAGTGCGATCAGCCAAACACGTCCATTGGCTATATAGCCACCCTTGTGTATAAGACTTGGTATCTGGCCGTGAATTTCCATGGTGCTGGCCGTGGGATCCCTACCGAATCCCTTGATGCCCGTTATTGTTGCATTCTCGAAGCCATAGTTCACTTGATTGAATAGCTTAAACTTAAACCAAACCCCGCCAACTTCGGCATTATTCCAAATTTCCGAATCCTTAATATCCACAATATCGATGGGCTTCATGCCCATTGCGGCCAAGCCTCGAGGATAACGTTTGATTACCGCATTCATCGATTCCATTATGCATTTCAAATCGCCGAAACGACATTTCCTAATAAAGTTCGCTGCGAACAGTTTTCGTAACGAATCGAAAAAAAAAAAACAACTTTAAATTGATTTTGGCTATAGGAACACAAATTTTATTTTGGACTACCCACGTAATGTTTGACACTTGCACGCGATAAACAATTCCAGAATGATTATGACGACAAATACAATACGCATATTTCGGTTTACTTCGATATGTACCATATGTTGGAGGAGAATGCACTTGTATTGGCCACAGAGGTTGCACATTGACTGAAATCGAATGCCTATTACTATAGAACATTTATAAGGCCAGCAAATCAAATTGGAATTCGCATAGTTTTATAAACCGGTTGCTCGATTAAACCAACTTGGGCTTCACTCGGTTCCGCACAGAACGTACATATATGTACATATATTAATTTAAGTATTTATACAATTGATGGGAAGTATGAAATGTATACTATACTATACATTATACGACTTTTGTGTACAACTATGCTGGATTTCGAAATGTCATTTTATATTATATATGCAAAAAATCTTTAGGTTTTCACAATTCTCATGATGCTAACAATTCAACATATCTATAATATTTGGTATAGCTCAGAAATCGAACTAAAAACGAGTTTTGTCTTGTTTTTAATTCAATTATTGTAATTTTTATAGTCATTCGAGAGAAACATGTCATCGTATGAAACATTATGAAATATATCCTCGATAATGCTCAGGAATACACCTGTGAATACTTCCAAAATTGGCTTTTCGAGTTCATTCCAAAACTCAACCCAATTTAAGTTAAATATTTTATTAATAAATATTGTCAAATCGGTATTTTCCGGGAAAAAATTTTCCAGCCATTGTATCCAGCTGCAAGTGGCGAAAAATTTCCGCTATTGTTTGCAATTAAAACAAATTAAATTTTAGAACTCACCGATCCACAGAAATATTCGGCACCAGCTGATAGATCTTCAGATATCGCTTATTATTACGATATTCCGTTTGCACTTTCAGCGTGAAATCGAAATGAAAGTTTAAGAATTCCGATTCAGAGACGCCGGATGAATTTATATTGACCAGCCAGAGTAAACGGCCCCTGGCATTATAGATGCCCCTATATATGAGCCTGGGCAGGTGACCCTTAATTTCGATTTTCGTTAAGCTGGGATCTTCGTCGAAGCCCCTGATTTCCGTTATAGTTGTATTCTCGAAACCATAATTGATCTGATTGAGCAGCTCGAAAAAATACCAGGCACCGCCCACCTGTCTATCATTGATGAGCACCTTATCCTTAACATGGACCACATCAATCGGCTTGAAGCCCACCGAGGGTATGCCCTTGGGAAAACTGCGTATCAGAGCATTTGCCGTGTCCTTAATGCAGGTTGTATCTCCAAAATGGCACTTCTTGATATTCGTAGCTGCGTTAAAATGGAGAGCGCCGAATCTTTAAAGCATAAACTATCCAATAATTCGATTCTATTTTAACTACCCACGTAATGTTGAGCACTCGGAACCGATAGAAAGCTGCAGGCACATCGACAATATCAAAAGTTTCCGCATTTTAAACAAATCCAAGCACTTGCATAGTCCCAGACAGACCGCGTTCAAGTAAATCCCAGCTAAAGTCTCAATATTAGTTGAGTAGAAATATATCGATTATCATAACTAGTTTTTGCTGTAATCCACCATATTTAATTAGTTAAACCAGGTCTAGTACCAGTTATCATGGTGGGTTCTCGAGAAGCTTTGCAATTGAACAGCTTTCAAGACTATACAGCTGATCGACTGGCTGGCCAGCAGACAATAGATAATAACAACTATTAATGTTGGCATAGGGCAACTTTTATTTAGCACTATAAACAATTTCCATTTACTCCAAACATAAATTGAGAAATATATTCAATATGCTCGCTCTTCACTCCTTATTCTCATTTATCTTTATTATTTTATTCAATAATTTGAATTATTTTAAAAAATATATTTCTCGGAATATTTATACTTAACTTGTTGTCAATCATTTTATATAGAAACTCAATCGAAACTCTCAATCGAAAGCACATTAAGGGCTAAAATGGCTCCAATCCTAACTTTAACCCGTTGCTCAAAAGTTTCTAGATATTTTTAGTCTATGTCTTGGAACTCGGAGGAAAGATCATCACTTTCGTACATGGACATATTGTGTAGAAAGTTTCTATCAAGGGAAACTTACAGTTATTTAATCATTTATTTCTTTTTTAATAGTTAAGACTGTAGGCTTTATTAGGCTTGGTAAGTGGAGGACAATCTTATCTTGATCTTACAGCAATGTGAGGAAAAAATTAAAGAAAAAAAGATCTATATGAAGGATTTTTTTCTAGCTAAGATTGTAAGTTATGTTAGGTTAGAGGAAGATTATATATATTGATCTTAATATGAGGTTAAAATATTTAATAAGTGTTTTTCTTCTTGTTAAGATTGTAATGGGTGTGAATAGAAGATATATAATAACATGGAAAATTATTTTGGAAAAAACATGTATGATAAGGGTTTTCCTAGTTAAAATTGTGGGTTAAGTTAGGTTAGGGGAATAAAAGATATTAGATAACTTATATGAGACAAAAAATAAGAAGGGTATATTACGATTTTTCTGAGACCCTGAAATGCTATTCATTTAATTAGTTATCATCCAACTCTTGGACTTGCTTATAGAAATCATCGTAGGGCAATTTGTCTAACACACGGCTAATAATTGTGTGCGCCAATTGGTTAACAGCCGAGTTGACACCTTTGCGCATGGTATTCCACACATCCTGCCAGTTGTTGTTGATTAGCTCATTCATGGAGTCGCTTAGCTCCTGGTTGTCAAGCAGATTCTCAAAGTTGACATGCAGGCTGTTTTACAAAGTATTATTTAGGAATTTGCTTCTGTTATGGCCTGTGCTTATTGGCTTACCCCTTTATATTCACCAGACACTTGAGCTTGGTGATCTTAGCATAAAGTTTACCATCGGTTGTTCGCCGATCTTCGATTGCCTTTGCCCGGCACGTGAATTGACAACCTCTCAGTTCCAACTGCGCCACACCCTTGCCCTGTATGGGCAGCATCAACAGCTTGCCCTCCGCCTCATAGAGCCCATCCAGGCGCAACAGAGGCGTCCAGCCGGCCAGCTCGAAGCCATGTCGCAGCACCTTCTCAAATCCTTTGGCATGCCGGATTGTGGTGTTCTCGAAACCGCACACCCTCAATGTATTGAATTTCAAACTCATTTGCATGGGCGTATTGGGCGTGGCCTCGCTAACGACTACATCTCGAAAGTCTATGGCATCCAAGGCATCCAGTCCAATGCCAGGCAGGCCCTTGGGATACTTCTGCACAATGCGATTGATGGTTTCCACAATGCAGTTCGCATCGCCGTCAGCGCATTTGTCAATCTCTGGCGCTTAAAATTCGAATATTTATTTTTTTTTAATAACAACTATAAGTCAAAAATATAAATCAGATAATTCTTGGATCTTGAATTCTAAATACATAATAGAAAGTGTGTTATTCTTAAAAGATATCCAAATTTTATTTCAGTTTATAATTGATTAAATTCAACTTTGATCTGAAGTTTTCGAAACTTGCGCAAATCAGTCTGTATTTTTTTTTAAATATGAAAGATGGACTTTATGTAATACTATTATGAAATATTGCTCTTGACATAATAATATTCCTCTACGATAAACTTTACAAAAAAAAATTCTCCAGAGAAGACCCTCTAAAAATGTATATTATAGGTTTGAGTTCAGAAAGGAGTATAGATACTTTCCTATAAATTTGAATAACAATTTTAAAAGCTTCTTGGATCTATAAGTGTTCTTTTTAAATACAATTCAATTTTCTCAGTATTTCACTTACGTAGTTCGCCGCGCACAAAAAATCCGTTTAGCAGGAGCAATGTTAGGGTATACCACAGTTCGGCCATCCTTCGAGTTCCCGTTGACTTTTTGAGCGCCTGTACGAAATGAACCCAAGCAATGACTGCCTCGTCGCTTTTATAATCCAATTACCCGATACGGAAATCGGAAAGTGTACTTAAATTGTGTAAAAGCATTGAATTATACTGCCACCTACACTGTAATTAACCCTTTGCGCTTTTGTTTGATTGATTCGTTTGGATAGCAAATGGCTCATTAGCTGTGCAGGTATTTAATTTCCCTTTCATTTAGGCGTCATCCATTTAAATATCAATTACAGCTACTTAAAACGTCGTGACACAAAAAGGTGTGCTTCGTCAGGGGTTAATAGAGAGCCATAAATGAGATATGTTCGTCTACAGGGTAGTGCTCGACTGGCACATATCCTATACTACAATTTACTTTATCTGCCATTATTGACGACTTAACCACATTTTGTCTAGTTTATCAAACCCATTTACACTTATATTTTAGTCACAGGCTAGTATGCAAATCGAACTACAGTTAATGCTTGACTAATTGATATAAGTTGATTTAACATCCGATTTCTCCACAACATACAAAGCACCCATATTATTTGTACTTATGCACATTATATAATATTTTATTTTAAATGTAATACACAACAATAAAAAACAATTTAATGTCGATAGCAAAGAGAAACATTGCAAACTAAGGTCTTGACTTATTTATTACTGTGCCATTTGAACAAAATTGCGGGTAATAAATAAATTAAATGGTACATTAAGAAATACGCGTGCTCTAAAGGTACACAACATAAATTATTTTCGATTGATTTTTTTTTTAGGAAATATTTTTGAAAAACACACGTTCTTAAGATTTACACATTTTTGATTTAAAAAATTGTTTACGGTCTCTCAGTTCACAGCCTTATAAGTAATATATATGTATGTATAGTTAAAATATGTGTGTGTGTGTGTGTGTGTGTGTGCATCAAATTATTAATTTTATCAATTACAGTACAGTGAACTAATGTCTAGTTTCGATGCCACATGTTTTTTGTTTTTATCCCAGGCATTTTGCAGTTATGTTCATATGTGGTATGTTATATTACGCAATTTTGTTTCCTAAAAATTTCATTTTTTTTTTCGATTTTTTTTTTTTTTTGGTACACTTCGTTTATCATGTTAAAATAAATATGCTATAAACATTTATTACACTAATTCCCAAGTATTCGGCCTGAAAAGAACGAGCGACAATTTGCCAAACAAAACCAGGGCCAGATTTGTGATGCGATGAACTAAGTGCTGGGACATGGCCTTCGAATAGGGTGACAACTCTGTGCTCTTTGCGGAACGCTTTGTTTGGGCAGAGTGGAACCGAATGCTAGCTGATGACCACATGGCCATTGGCATTCTCCACATTGCTGCTGTGGCAACTGAGCTCGTTGTTGTTGCTGCTAAAACAAACCTCCTCACTGCCATCGGAATCAGTGCAGAACAGTAATGGCTACGCATCCTCACCATCCATGATATCTGCATCGGTGTCGGCATTGGTGGCAATTCTGCAAATGCAAAGATATTATGAAATCGATGAATGACTAAATGCAGGTGTGTGTGTGTGTGTGTGTGGGTGTGCGAGTATGTGTGCGTGTGTATGCATAAAATGAGACGCAGCCGGGTCTTATACGAAAGAAATCTTATAAGAAATAGAGACCCAACATAACTCAGGAAGTTTTTGAAAAAACAAAGACTATATAGGGTTTTTAGAGAGTAGAAAATTCAGAGCCCGCAGCATAGTATTGCATATTATCATAACTAATCAAACTACGCAAAGAACTAGTATACGACTATGTAAAAGACTGTCTTGTTAGTAGGAAATCAACATCATAAGAAGAAATAAGTTTAACATACAACAGGCATACAATAGGCATTAAAATAAAAGACAACTCAGAAAGAACCATCTATCACGGCGGTGACCACAAATATCTGTTCATCTTTATTGTGAGTGGGGTAAGACTAAATAATAGGTGTTTTAGGTAATTTATTAACTTATATATACATATATACAAAAAAGGTTGAACTACTTATAAAAACACAATTTTTGAGTAATGTACGTAAGCTTATTATAAATACTTAACACTCTACAGAACTGAGCAATAGTCGAATTAACCAAGCATTTACTTAAAGAATAGCACAAGCTATTCCTTATATAACTTTTAGCCAAATATAAGAAAGAAAATATTTTTATTATATACAATCAACATTAACATAACCATAAGCATTAAGAGGCGACATTTCTTTGTAGATTATTAAAAGAGTTTATGGAGATTCCATTATCGTTAAGCGTCAGCTCACTATAGAGGGTGGCATCCACATGTGGTTGGGTTGTTTGTTGGTTCGTTGTTTTTGTTGCCACCATTAAATGGATAAACAAATTTGGCGGCACGTGCAGCAGCGCATTTGCAAGGTTTGAATAAACAATTGAAATCCGCATTGAATTTTTGGTTAAATGAATATTCGTTTTTTCTTTCATATTGTAAATGTGTTTAGCTGTCGAAACGCTAATTAATTTTGTTGAATGTGTTTCTAAACTTTTTTTTCAATATTTTTATTATTGTTTTTTAAAGTCTATTGTTTGCTTGCCAATTGCAAACTTTTTTTTTTTTTTTTGATAAATTTGAGCCAATGCCAAGAAAATCATTTATTAGTTTTGAACATAATTTTTTTGCACAGTTTTTTTTTTTTTTGTGTTCAATTAGCCAATAATAACAGATCAATCAATCCAATACAGTTGTGGTATTATTTGTATTATTATATTTTTTTGTTCATGCAGTCAGCATCAGAAATAAGTAGTATAAGAGTGGAGCGTGTGTAGATGTATTTAGTATAAGATACACAGAACAGTGTTGGAAAACAAATGTTGGTAGTCACGCAAACACATATAATAGAAGAGAATTTTGTGATACAAAAAATAAATAGTAACAAAATTAGTAACACATTTTTGTTGTTGAGTTTTTATTTTTGTTTTGTTTTGATTTATTTAACCACGCCAAATGGATAAATGCAATGGATGAGCGTTATACCAAAATCCCAGATATTATCCAATAACCTGTACTAAGGTATTAAAGCTTTATATACTTAATATTTAGTTCACTCCAGTTGCCTTCATCAACATTCAGAGATCCATTTAGTTCCATACAATGGCTCCGCTACAGCTCCAATTCAGCACTTAGGAACTAGCTTATACTTATAATAAATCAAAGGCAAGACCCCTTTTCTCAGAATATAGAAATAAATGCGTACTTTATTTATCAAAACTAAGCGCTCTAGCTTATATGAATATAGCCTGATAATTGCCATTGTGCGAGCATTATAGGTCCACAATACCAACAGCATTATGACTTACCAAAAACTTATAAATAGCTTTAATAGATATGAACAGCAATTGCCTTAAGGCAACTTAAATTCTTATTGATGCATTGTTAGTGTTGTAAAGCATGTGATTTTAGTGTTAGTATCACAAATGTGGAGGGCTTCCCAATTGAAATTAAGTAAGTTAATTGAGCCGTAGCTTATGAACTGTAGAAATAATCATTGAGCTACTTTTTCCGAAACAGTATCGAGAGGTTTGTCAGTAGTATTAGTTTTATCGCCTACAACTAAGGTAACATCACTGTGAATAATTAAAAGAAGAAGAGCATAGGCATATATTTTCAATTAAGTGTTAGTCAATGAGTGTTAGAGAGAAAAGTAACCGAATGGTGGAGCAAAGGATTAGTAGATTTAAGAAGACAGTAGACAGCATTAGGAGTGCTGGGAAAGTAGAAAAACCAATTCACATTAGGATAGTACAGACTAGAGATCAATTTTTTGAGATTAGTTACCCATATAAAGACGTAGGCAATTGTACAGTGGTGTATGTGTGTTTTGATGTGTGCAAGAATATTATGAGTAACATATTATGCATTAACATACCTGGCATACGTTGAGTTGGCATTCTTTATCGAAAAACTATTCTGGCTTGGTAACACAAATCGTTGCACCCACTGTAAATAGGAAAAAACATACGTTAGATGAAGTTGTCTTCAAAATATGACATCTAAAGCTCTATAAAGTGCTTGCGAGCAGTCACGTAAATTGATAAACTTGAGCATGATAACTATTGCCGCATACAATTTATGATTGACTGGCTAAATAGTTAATGCTTTTGGTCACGAATTTTGATAAGTGTTTGCTGGTTTTCAATATATGTAACTTACCCGACTGTTCATCAGACGCTTGTTGCCCATGCAGGCGGCCATATGTATCACAAGATATATAACAAATAGAATATATAATACAGCAAATATGCCTATAAAAAGAGAGAAGCATTAGTCACTCAAGTAAATAAAAGGGACATTATAGGCTTGGGCTACTTACAGACTAGCGCCAGCATGCCGCCTTCAATTTGCAGCGTTTCCACTTGCGCCACCACAAAATACAAATTAACGCCAATTACCACAATGGTTAGCAAAATGGAAACGATTTTGTTTCCGCTACAAAAAAAGGTATATGAAAAATGTAATTTTATGACAAATTCTAGATATTCAATCTCTACTCACATTCCATTCACAAATTCACCCATGATGGCCGCGCACGATGTAAACGCAATTGTGGGTATTGCGGCAAATGGCAGCTGCAGCGACATGACCGCATTAAGTATATCATTCATATTGGTAAGATCATCCATTTTACTGAACATGGCCAGGCAGAAGGTGGGTATAATGGCAATGCAGCGCGTGACCAGCACGCGACACCAGCGCGGCCATTGCAGATTGAGGAAACCCTCCATTGAGAACTGGCCCGCATAGGTGCCGGTCATGGTGGAGCTCTGGCCGGCAGCCAAAATGCCGACACCCCAAATGTACATGGCCGCGGCACCAAATGTGCAGCCCAAAAACAGTCCGCCCTTGTACAGGTCCGCATTGATAATGTCCGTCAGATTGTGATTGTCTGTAAACGACAGCTTGGCATCCTCGTACATGGACTTGTTGGTACACACATCCAGCTGAAAGGAGGAAAGTTAGCCAACCGCTGAAAACAGATGCTTCTACAGTTCACTCACCACATCCCGATTGGTCTTGCCATACATGCCATGCGCGAAAACCGCCACAACAAAGAGATTGATGATAAAGGAGACAAACAACGCTACGGAGGCCTCAATAAAGAAATAGAAATTCGCTTCGCTCACTTTCTTTGGCTGGCGACGATCCACATCGCGTGACTGTAAGGCAAATAGAAAGAATTACTTTAGGATTCACTTTATGTTTTACCTCAATTCTTACCTTGACCAAAGCAGAGTGCAAATAGAGATTGTGTGGCATTATGACGGCACCCACCACGCCCACTGCCTGCAGCAGCACATCTGAATTGCAATCGGTGCACCAAGGCACGA